TCCGGCTATGCATTATGGGTCGGCACTTGCCTGACCATGTTACAAATGAACCGATGGATGAAGGCTTTGGGGCTATTGTCAAGAACTGTAAGAAGCTTACTAGACTTGCTGTATCTGGTTTACTGACTGATAGGGCTTTCAGTTACATTGGACAATATGGAAAACTAGTCCGAACCTTATCAGTTGCTTTTGCCGGAAACAGTGACTTGGCTCTGAAGTATGTGCTCGAGGGCTGCCCTAAGTTGCAGAAGTTAGAGATCAGGGATTGCCCGTTTGGAGATTTGTCTTTGCGTTCTGGTTTACACCACTATTACAACATGAGGTTCCTTTGGCTATCATCTTGTAGAGTAACTCTACAAGGTTGTCAGGAGATTGCTCGCCAATTGCCCCGTCTAGTTGTGGAAGTCATTAGTGGTGATGATGAGGAAGGGAGTGAGACTAATGAGCATGTCAATACCTTGTACATGTACCGATCTCTTGATGGACCGAGGGCTGATGTACCCTCATTTGTCCAAATACTGTGACCGACCTTTATAGAAGATAGGAACTTTCTGCAGTCAATTGATTGGTACCTTTGAGAAATGATTTAACTATTTTCTTGGGAAGAGATGCTCTCGGGAAATCTGTTGCAAATTTCCTTGTAGAGAAAACGAATGGTGATCCTCTTGCAAAAGCAGTGAGCCAATGTGTAATGTATTCAATGCTGGTCTCCATGGATGTCATTGTATATGGTTCCGTACAGAGATTGTTTTTTTCCAGCAAGGAAAATCTAGAAGACAAAACGTTGTTGTATCAGTAATCTTTTCTATTCTTCATATTCATGGAGCCTTCAATTAGCAAGTGGAGTCAATGCTAGTAAGGGTAGATGTTCCAAACTCAAAAGGCTTTTGGATCAAATTGCAGCTGAATGAGATGTTTTTGCAGAATCAACACGTGCATGCTGGGTCAAGTAGTATCTTTTCATACCTTGTTATTTTTTTTTTGTTTCATTGTTAGTTTAGAGTTGGAAGTTCTTTTTTATTTTTAGTTGGTGGATAGCCTAATGGTCAGTCAGAAGAATCTCCTCCATCTCGCTTTCTAGAAAAATATTGGTTCTTTCCAGGATGTGTTGTTTCTTAGCACCTGACTGTTGAATTTATTATTGTTATTTTTAGAAGAAATGTGAGATGGGTAATAAATGCCAAATATGCATGGACCACTTTATGGGGAATGATCAGCTTGATAGTGAAGGAAGACCCATAAATGTTGTGTGGAACAAGTACAAAAATGCAGGACCCCTCCTCTCTCTTATCCTCCATTACCTTTCCAGCTGATGATGAATGGCCCTTATTTCTCTTTGTATCTCGAGGAGCCTGTTCTATACATGGATGGATAGTACAGCACACCTCTTTTTTTTTTTTTTTTTTAGCCTGATGCAACTTTATAATAATTCATTTTGGATAACAGTCTTGAGGAGCCTGCTGCTGCAGCATTCTTCATCTCTATTATTGACGACAACTCAAAGTGGGACCAATCACTAACGGATTATTATTTGGCACAACCCCTGTTATATTGTTTCAAGAAAAGGCTGTTTATTCTTCGAAAATACACAGATAATATCAAATGGTGAAAAAGCAAAATCATATATAACAAAGTGGGATCTGAGTATGCAAATTGAATGGAAGTAAGACTTCCATTTTCTTTTTATCTAAACATCTGTAGAGGATATAAGTGGCCCATTTTTTTCTTAATTGCCTCACAGTCCAATAGACTACTCAAGTCAACTACTTGATTCTTCATCTTTCACCAAGCTCTTTGAAGGAGTAAAAGACTATTTACTTGTTCATTAGGGGGGTGTCTTTGTTGCTTTTCACTTTCAAACAGAAAAAATGACCTTTGGTAGGAAAAAAAGTGACACAAGAGTGTAGGAGAAAATACATGGAAAGTGACCTACCAATAAGGACAGGCTCAAGCATCTTTCAATCTTGGCCATCCTATGCGTTTTGAAGACCACTTCTGATGGACACTTCTGACATAATTAATGAATATGGACAACTTAACATAATATATATATAATTTTATTTTCATCTTTCCACAAGTGTCACAAGAAACCTCTCAAACTATTTTTTTTCAAAAGAAAAAGTCCACTCAAATTTGCCTTAATAACATCGGAAAAAAAAATAACTCAGTTGATTAACTTCATCGGTTTCTATCATTACTTTTCTAAATATATAACATTTAACTCATTTTAATAGCAATTGAGTGATTTTCTTTACATAAAGTAGTGAGTTTGATGTAATATAATAAAAGGTTGAGTGAGGATTTATGAAATAATTTGATAGCAATGAATGAGAGGTTCACTAGACACTGAGACTGAAGAAATTAGGTAGACACATACATCAAAGTGTTTTAAGCCTACAAAGTTGAAGTCCTTTAACAAAAATCATATGAAAAAGTGGACCCTTACTAGAACTGATAATTGAGTTTTGGTGGGCCACGTGTACGGTATGGGAGGTGGAATACATTAATTGCACCCTTCAAATTATAAGTAGGAGTATTAAATTAAGTAATCATGTTTAATAGCTTAATTAAGTGTACTAATTGTGAGTTGTGACCATCACTCAAAATCACAAATGAAAACACTATTTCATGATCTCGTCACCGCCTACGCCTTTCTCTCAATTCTACTATTCATCTACCTCTTTCTACTGATCAAAAATATTAGCATCGTTTCATATTCTTAAATAATAATAATAAAATAGTTTTGCTAATTTATTCCTAAAGAAATATTTTGGAAACTTCATGAATTTGCTTACACATTTTTATTTTAAAAAGAACGAGCTGTAAAAATTAATTAATTTTCGCTTGATTTGTATATTAACAAGTTATTTTGGTCAATTATTTCAGTAATGTGGATGATTAGCATGTGATGAATGAAAGTATGATTGGAATTATTTTATCAGTGCTCTTTCATTTTTATTTATATGTCACAATTTTAGATTTCATGTCTCTTAAGAAATTAAATAAGTTTATTATTGTATAACTTATTTAATATTTTCTTGAAGTTAAGTTTACAATAATTGAATATAAATTAATTTGATTTGATTAATTAAATTGATCAATAAACATGAACTAATCATTTATTTTTCAAGAGAAATTTATACTTTCAAGACTAATGATTAATGTCGTTGACGCATTAATTTTATGAAATTATAAATATCATCCCGTTCAATTTTACTTATCACATTTTGACTTGATATATTCATTAAAAAATAATTTATAAAATAAAAATATTAATAAAATATGAAAAAAATATTTTCCTTTTACATGATACACTCTAGTTGGTTGATTATTTCTTTAAAGAAACTTGTATAGTTTACATTTTATCCTAAAATAAAGCAATAAATGCCTGTAATTATAATACTTTTCATTTTCTTTCCTACCTTATTTATCAGTCTATTAGTCTTGCTATGACTAGTTTGTACATTATAAAATAAAAACAACAATAATAAAATATTCGATATAATTTTATAAAATAATATAAAATATAACTTATAAATCGTCAAATATTATATTTATTTCAAATTTGTTAGGTCGGTGAATCCAAATAAAAGGGGGATTAATGCCTCAACTAATTAAGCACGAGGTCAACCACTAAAGTATATCCCTTCGTGCTCCTCCACTTTCTTCTTTTATTTTTTCTATTTATTTAAATAAATGCATACGTGTCTTCTTCTCTTTCTTAAATATAAAAAAATAAATAGTGCAATAAAGTAAATAGGTATATATATATATATATGAAAATAAATAAATGATGCATATTAATATTATTAATAATCTAACTATTTATTCATTCAGGCACAATTGATTGATTTGATACGGCACATCTAGAAGAGCAAGAAATAATTAGATGCCGCTAGGCGCTAAATTACCTAATATTCAAAGTATTTAGTCTTCTCCACCTAATTTTATGGGTGTCGATTTAAGTGTGGAATATAAAAAAATTCTTATTAGAGAGCCCTTTTTTTTAAATTAATGTTTAACTAGACGAATTTAAATTAGTTAAGCTATAGATATCGATATCAAACACAAAATAAAAAACTTTTTTATTTTTTGTTTTGAGAGTTTTATACGGGAGAAGCATAAATAAGGAATTAAAATTCGCTGCAATCATCATTAAAGTTAAAATAAATTTGTTTTGATAAAATTATTTATATTCACGCAAGTATCTAAAGTCCGCTTTAGACCATATGCTTTAAAATTTTCAATTTTGTAAATATTATATTAAGTCAAATAATATCACATAAATTGAAAGTCAAACTGAGAGTAATATTTAGGTAGATTTTTATATTTTGGAAATACTGAGACTTTGTACTTGTTATTAGTTCGGCCTGCGTTGTGATCGGATCCCACAATTTTAAAAAAAATAATGAGATCACATTGATGGGCAATTCATTTTTCCAAAAAAGTTTAGGTTTGCATTATATAATTTTTTTTTTCTCTCTTTCCTTTTATTCTAAAAATAAATTCCTTTGTCCACTATAGAAGACATGAATTCTTAATGAATTATATTTACTTAGATTTCTTGTCATACTTACGTGTGATGTCTGGTGATGAATCATGTGAACGAGTAAGATGTTGTTCTTTTGTTTTTAGAAAAAGAAATATAACAAACACACTTTCTTGGAAAATGTTGGCATCAACTTGAAAAATTGGCTATACAAACAAAATCACAAGCCTAATTTTTGACTTAAGTGATATACTTATTTGAAGACCTCTCCACCCCCATCTGAAAAGTAAGAGGTTACGCTGCTCAGTGACAAAATCAGAAATTTTTATAGCGATATTCAAAATATAAAAAAAGTAAATATACAAAGTAGGTCAAAGAAATACTTTTGACCTTATAAATATTATAAAATTTTTCATTGAAGGAAATTTGAGTGAACCCTTTACGCTCCTGGCCTTTTATCTTTGCCCTGTATGGAGTGACGAAGCTACAAATTTATCTATCAGTCCAACAATTTCAGTAACTTTGATCCAAACTCTATATTTTATACTTAATATAAATAAATAATATATTCAAAATTCAGTAAATAACCTTAGAATTTTAAATAATAAACTCAAAATTTTAGCTTTGTCAAGATTTGTGTAAGGTTATTCACTCATATTCTAGTCACATGAGTAGGTTTGACAAGCAAAAGGCTCTAACCAAGATGTTAACAAACATCACATGATAAAGAATGAGAAGACAAAAGGCCAACTCATAAGGTAAGCATTAATATTATGTGTGTCTATGTGTGTTTTTTGTTTTTGTTTCTTTGTATGTTTTTATCAATCTACTTTTTATTTATTTTATGATAGTTTCCCCTAATGATTTCCTAAGACTTTAAAAAACATGTTTACGTCCGAATACATGAATACTTGTGGTGTCTTAAAATGATTAGTTGTGGAAAGAAAGTGGTCAATTATGTCAACAAAGTTAATTGATCTAGAAGCCCTATTGTTATTTCTATGCATGACCTAATTTAACACTTCTTAAAGTTTGCTACTTTTTTTTTTTTTTTCATTTGTGAGTGTGATTCTGACATTGTTAAGGTAATATTTGCACTTAAACTATAGCCACTTCGTAGGTGCAGAATTTAGGAAAAAGTGGTCAAACTTGAAAGCACAATTTGTAATTCCCATTTGCATTTTGTTCTTTTTGGAATATCTACAAGTTGTACTAATTTTAAGATCTGATTGATGATCGTTAATAAGCTTCCAAATTTAAACGAGCATAACCCGGAGAAGAGCTTCTTTTCTACCGAACATGGCAGTTGGTGGGGTGGGGTAGTCTTCTCATGCTCGGAATTGAACATCTGGTGTGTGGATAATTTAATCTGAAGGTTCACCAATGGTAAGCAACATTTAGAGGAATCTTGTTTTGATATTATGAAATGAAATGAATTTAGAGGCTAGCTCAACCACAAAAACTAACTGACAGAGACAGGATTGCCCAAGATTTATCAAAAGAAAAAGACGCAAATAACGCTCATATATGCCATGTGTGAAAAACTTTGGTCATCTATGTCATTTCGTTTGGAAATTAAGCTCATTTATGCCTTTATTTGTTAACTGAAATGACATAATTGAACAAAATTCTTATCGGATGACTATATGAGCCTTCTTTCAAAGTTTGATGACATATTTGAATCTTTTTCCCCTTTTTAAAAAGATTTAATTAATGACGTCGCTGGATCAGTTATGACCACATATAGAAAATAATTTTGCAAAATAAAAATTGTTTTTTGTTAAAAACCAATTACATGGATTAGTCTTTTCTCAAATAAAAATAATATAAATAAGCTAAAATATTAACGAATGATATAGATGAACCTTTCCTCAACTTATATACTTAAATAGACCATCTACATACATCGCGAATTTCCCTTTTCTATTTTGTATTTCACTTTGATAGCAATAATTTGAGAGGAAAGCTTAACTACACTTTCCAAGTTAAGCAAGTGAGGAACTTTGATAGGATTAGTGTAAAATAAAACCTAGAAATTGGCTGGTAGATATTACTTACCAAGTTAAATCAATTGAACTGACACAAAATGGTAAAATGTGATGTATTGTGGTAGAATCAATCCATAAAGATAAGTGCCACTGATGTTTAAAGAAAAAAAAACTAGTGTCACACCACACTTTGGTTGATATTATTTTGATTCATGACTACTTAGCTAACACAAACACATTAAAGGTCCAATCAACTATTTTATTTTAGTCTACCCAATCTTCCCATGTACTAAGTATACCTTCAAAAAATTAAAAGGGCCAATTTTTATGCTCCTTCTTAATGACATCTGTGAGATAGAACATCAATTCACCTAATCAATGGGTTACAATTTGATTATTTTTTTGGGTGGGGCAAGGTGATAAAGTGGTGATTTTATCACTTATCCAGCGTCATTTACTTATGCTTTTGTAGTTTTTAGTATATACTTAAGCTAAATCAGATGGAATTTGTCACGTTTTAAGTTTGTGGAAGGCCAAAAATAATGAAAATGAAGTGAAAAAGAGATAAATACTCAAAATCGAAAAGGTGAACCGGGCGATCAATATATATATATAGAATAAGTTTACGTCGTTGAGTCTAGATTCTGGATTACCTTTGGATTGCCTCGTATACGAGACTCTTAATTTTCCCCTTAGTTGGCGACAAGTGTAAATAAAAGTTGATACTTTAATGTTTGTTCTCAATCTTTTTCGAGGTTGTCAATATCTATCATTCAATTTGTTCACTACTCTATGAATGGTTCAAGATTTAGTGATGTTGAGATAACCTTGGTCAATTCTTAGAAAATCACTCCAATTCTCTTTTCTATAAAGAAAAAGTTTAATCCAACAGCTTCACCCACTACTGAAATGATAAACACAAAACACAGCCTCTAAAAACTCATTGATGATATAAAGCTTTGAGCAAAAAAATGATGCATTGATTTGGACTAAGAAAAAGGTAGGAATCTTCTAATCATTTCAACTTTAGAACTCAAAAAGAAAGAAAAAGAAAACTCATCCCTCCCCCCTCAATCTTCCCCTTTAGTACTTGTCATTTTCTGATGGATTTATGTAGTGCCTTTCAATTCAAATTCTAATCCACAAAAATACTCTTGTAAGATCAAATTATTGTTTTCAACGATAAATGAAAAATCTACCTCTGACCCTATTGTGGTGCAGTGGTGGGACTATTCCACCATTAACCAGAGATCTCATATTCGATTCCTGAGTACAGAGAAAAATCACCACCAAATGGAACATGCAGTGCGTGATCCGAATTTAATTGGAGCTCCTTGGGAAACCTATCCTCTGGAGAAAAAGTGGTATGGTCACTCTCCATCAGGATGGCCTTTCAGTGAAAGGAAAAAAGAATCAGAGTTTTGAGGTTTAAGTGGTCAAAAAAGCTTTGAAAAGATATTCTTAAAGTATTTTCATGGTGGTCCCAAATCAGCCTTAAACTCTTTTAAGTTTCAAAGTAAATGTAAGATACAATACTATTAATCAACAAAAGAATCCAAAAAATAAACAATCTAAAATACTTAGGCTAGGTTCTACCTAGTTGAAATGATGTTAAGCATAGCTAGAATATTGATCAAATACATGTAAGCTTTGCTTTCAAGCTTTTCTATATGTTCCATATTCTCAACAAAAAAATGTCTAATCATCAAGTCAAACTTTAATTAGTGCATATCACTAGAAACTAGAGTATAGAGTCATTACATAGAAGAGGAACAAATATGTCATATCCTTCCTAAGCTTATTCCACTCAAACCAACCAAAGGAGAAAAATGATTTAAGTACTACACAAGCAAACATAATAGCAAGTCTACATCATCCACATGGGGCAAAAGAATTAAAACAAGAAAGAAAGCTAAAAAAATATATCATGTATTGATCAGTTAACCATGACCAAGCAACATTATGCAAATCAATTATTTGTTTTTCGGTTTAGTTGATAAAAACATGATTGCCTGATAACTATCTACAGGAAAGTTTGAACTAAGCATCAGATGGAATGACGATAAGCTGATGCAGGAGACTCCAAATTGTCCCTAGATGATCAGGTTATTTACAAGGAGCAAATGTCATGAAGCATTCAAATATTATCTTGACAAACTCTGCATATTCAAAGACTTACATAACTCCTTCAAGTCGAAAAGAAAAAGTAGTTATCTAACTCGATTATGGAAGTCAATCGAACAAAATATTTACCCTAGGAATTCCAGGTCATCTCCTCTCCGCTGAGACAAGTAGTGTTTCCCACATATGAGATGATACGATACAATGTAACCCAAGGAAAGGCTATCTGTAACTTCCGCCTCAAATGCACCACGACAACATAGATCTTGATGCCACTCTGTTGAAATTAACGTATATATTCTTGGTTTTTTTTGTTGTTCAAGAGATTTCACACATAACATGGTGATGCAGATAGAACTTTAGGATGATTATGTTGTTTCAATCACCATTATCAAATTAGCAAATAGACCAATAAATACAATAACAGTCGTACCTCAGACTCAAACAAGTTGGGTTTGCTATATGAATCCTTACTGACCATGTTACTCTATATAAACTCATCGCAAACCAATATTATTCAAAGTAATAATAATACTACCTATTAGAAAAGCAGAGGACGTAAAGTAAAATTGCCAACATCATTAAAACATATTCTCAACTAAGGTATCACCTATACAGATCTTTTTCTTCCATTGCACCTTATGTTTCACTAGATCTGCATGGATCCCAAGAGATTGTATTTACTTAGAGAAAACTTCATCCTCTTTTATTACCTTTATTCACCATGGTTTCACATCTATGGACTTACACATTTTGTGGTTGACGTGGGTCACGACCAAATCAATTCAAGCGATCTTCTCTAATTTATCATTGATGCCTTACTTGAACCTTCATGCCAACGTGATCACTTCTAATCTTGTCTACTCTTGTATAACTGCACATCCATCATACATTGTATTCTTTGAGCATGCACTCATTGATGAACATTGATTTTAGTTAGCAGTTAACACATATTCACAAGGGTTGTAGCAGTCATTTCTTATTCAAATAAGGGGCTCCACTACAATCAGTATTCAGGGGCGGAAGCAGTGTATACTATGTGGATTGCCAGAAACCCAGCAACTTTTGTCCAAACCCTGTATTTTATTGAGAATCCGTTAAATATATAAGAAACTGTTACTTGGGAACCCATTACTAAAAGTAGCAGCAAAGCTCGAAGCTCTTTGATGACAGTTCAATTCCCCTGGAGCACTATAAGTGCATTCTATTTTCAACAAAAAAATGTCGACCTTTATTTTCTCTTCTCTTTCGTATTATTTTTAAAATGGTAAGAACCCATAAATTTTAAATCTTGGATCTGGCTATGTTAGTATTGATGAATTTTTGTTTCATTAAGTACATACCCCATGTGAATATGTAAATATATCTTTGCATACATAGTATGCACAAATGAGATTTGAGAAACAACACAACTTTATCAATCACCATAACATACATTTGTCTTTACAAATAGTAGAAGTCAAGTCATAAAGGAAAAGGATAGTTGACACTGCATATTCATTCCCATATGCGGAAAATACTAATCAGGAAGTTAGTTGATTCATTCTCCCGCTTGCAATTTGTCAGTCTCCTAAAAATGACATACTATGTGAAATGTGAAAAATTTAATAGGACGGCGACCATCAGTAAGCACACATAAAAACCAAATCCTTATCAAGGCTGAGAGTTCCACTTTGTGGGGATTCTCAACTATTGCAATTAATCTAACATTTCATAAGGCTTAAGAGAAAGAGAGAACTGTATAAAACCAGCAGTAGATGTTCATAAATTAATAAAACTAGTCTCTATGGCTAAAACATATTTTCCTTGTGTGGATCTAAATAACTTGGAAGCAAAAGAGTTACCTCAGTGAATCCAAGATATCTATTCCGTGCTTTTTTCTCAAGTGGTGGATTTACATTGTTTTGTTGGGAGCAATTGCCATCCTCATCTTTCTAAATGCTTTATGCTTGCCCTATTATTATTTTTTCACTTCATATTTGATCCTTGCCCCCACTGAACTCTCTCAACCTACAAAGATGATGCATCTGATTAGCTGCAATAAAATACTGATGATACCTTGTATGACTTTTAATACAAAGGAATTTAAAGAGAGAAACAAAGGATCGGTAGCTTTTGTAAAATATTACTGAGATACTGTATAGTGAATCCATAACATGTAGGACTCTTGAGCTTCTGTTATGAACTTTATCAAAATAAAAATGTATCCTGTTTGCTCTTTCTTTATATTTGTTTTGCATTTCAGCACCCTTTATGATTATATTCTATAATCAATTCTGTTGCCATATTACAAAGTAAAATGAGATGGTCCAAACTTTTGCACCCCACCCCACATGCATATGAAGCACCAGCTGATGCGAATAATCTCCCAGTCTTAAATTCTATGATAAATGACTTAATTGAAAACAATCCACCCTTCCCCATTCCTCATCTTACACGAGTCCTGGCTAGTGAGTGAAGGATGATGTTTCAAAGCACCACGAGCAATCTCTAGAATTCAGTTACCTCCAAATCCTGCAAATTTCTCCCAAACCTCAAGTCTCATATATCTCCATACTTGAAGCCCTCCTGATATGTTATGTTTTCAACTCCCACAGACTCAAGATCCTGCATATATTCGGAAAAAAATCCCGAGCACACATCTCCACTCCACCTATCATCTCTCAGGCTAATTTTGCTTCCATCCCAACCTTAAAAATGCTACTATTTCTGAAGTCTCTTCTTCCCTTCATGATGTTTCTCAATAAGTCACGAAGGAGTGCTAATGTAATGATCCTCGTTCTCCCTACCTTGTCCACAGTTTTTGCTATCATCCCTCCACATAGCCTGCTACTAAGTCTCAAAACTCCACATCCTTTTTCCCACAATGCCTTCTTGAACAGTCCGAGACTTTTCACCTCAACTCAAGTCCCATTTTTTTTTATAAGGTAAGATATTAAATAAGAGGTACCAAAGTGGTATAAAAGGAATCAGGACTCATACATAGACCAAACAGACAAGCTATTACTCTTTCCCTCCTAACAATTGAGGAAATCCATGTAGTGGTCTAAACTAACTAACAGATTGCTATTACAACAGAAAGACAGATTATGCAAACATTGATTTTTGACTCTAGAAACGTGAATCCTACTCCCTTCGGTGCATGCTTTGTTCCTCTCTGTTTTCTTAGGGAAGTGACGGTTTCCAATTAACCAAATTATGACCTAACTTTCTGCTATTAAGTTCCATACAAAATTCCTCTAACCTCTCCAGATTCTTGTCCTATTAGTTGGTGTGCGGAAAAGTAACATTTGATAAATGGGAATTCTCTTCCTCTCTTTGAAAAGTTCCTCCCTTGTAATCTAGCTAGTATCTTCTCAAGTCTCAACTCTATCAATTATATTAGGTTCCTCCATAGTGCGTCTTTGTACAAACCTCTCATTGAAAAACCTACATAGGTGGTAGCTAGGGAGGTCACCAACTCTACAGTTGAACATTTGAGGTAGTTGTCCAATGGTGTCCACCTTCATTTTCTAAGGTAAATCTTGAACTCTGACATATGAGGATCTGTCATAAGTACGTGATTTGAGAATCATCAACAATACATCACCAAATACTACTCATCATAGCCATAAAAGATTAACCCCAGTTCTAAAGGTTTCAACATGAATACTGCACATATGAATTAGATTAGTTCTAGGGGCATTGCAAACTTCATAACTATTAAGATTACACATTTTTTTAGTGAAGAAGACATAGTGGATTATGATGTAAGGAAATGCGAGTAATAATCCTATGGTTAAACACTAAAAATTACCCCCTTTGAGGGTATCCAAACCTCAATAAGAAAATTTCTGTTTTGATTTAAAGGAACACTAGTCAACTGCATGCTTATGTCGATGAGATGAGCATGAAATAATTTAGCATTTGATGGATCCTCCCTGAATAGGTTTAATACGAATGAATTCAGTGAAGAAATTGCTCAACAACGGACTAAAGAGATCCACAACTAACTTAATTTGGATTCTTTTATGGCTATATATGACCCTTCTTCAGAAATTATCTAAGATTGAATTGAAAAAAAAAAAAACTCACTCAAATTAATTTTTGTGAAGAGAACATTTTTAACAACATCGTAGCAGGTGTGGTAAATTATCAGAGCGTGGTGTATTTTTGATGCACCATACTAACAAATGGAGGTGAAAACTGAATAGCAAAAGAGTGATCACCACTGTGTAAGTGGCATCCAAATGACCACTGAGTGGCTTTAAGACCTTCTCCGCGACCTTGCATTGCAACTCCATCTTTAATTACCCTCAAGCTATGCATGCAATTCCTCCTCAATCTTATTGCACATGATGCAGCCTCGTTTCTGAACCAGGGGGAGGCTGTTAAAAAATGCAGTTTGCAAGGCAAACGACAAAGTTACTAGAAGTAGGGAGCAGAGTTTAGGAGTACATAAGGGGGCAAGGGCTGTAAGGGCTGATGAAGGATATGAGGAATGGGCAAAAGAAGAAAGGGGTGGAAGACTCTGCAATATATGGGATTCTTAAGGATTTGTTGATTACATTACTGAAAGGTCCAGATTGTCTCCCTTTGAACAAATTAAAGATCAGCCAAGTGCAATAATCCAGGGTTTGAGATTAAGAAATAACTTGAGCAAAAGTGCAAGTTGTCCTTCTGAATATTTTCTTATCAACACTTACAAAATGTACCCGCTCAACTTGATCTATAATAACAACATATCCAATGTAAATAATCTAGCCTTTCAAAATATTTCTAGTTCCCTTTCTAACTAGATTCATTTAGTAAGGAGTAATCATTTAGAAGATAGACAACCATACATACTTGTTATGTGTTCGATTTGTATCTTTTAAAATCATGAATTTCCATTTGAGCTGAGACTCCTGAAGGAAATTTTTGAAGTTATATCTAATTTAAAATGTTAATGTGCTTAACCGGACCAAAGATAAGTTGGCATGCCACTTGAGGAACAAAAAGAATTGAACCACCAAGGTCTCAGATGTTTAATATCAGCATCAATACTCGACCAAGCTAGATGTCAGAGACCACGAGAGGAGGAATTACAGCATGCATGACTGGAGGACTAAGAAGACAAGTTGCGTAATAAAATAGCTCGCTCTACTCATAGAAATGCATGATATCATAACATTCCTCATCTTCACCTCCATCCTAAGCACTTAATATGTGTTGGAGAAGCTGATGGACATAGGCTTGCAAATGTACCCTGGAAAGGGTGGGAATTGTGTAAATATTGGTAGCTTAATCCTAGTATATTCATAAAAATATTGACAGCAAGTTACATCTTGCAATACTTGAGCAATGCAAATAATTTTGATAAATAAGGAGGAATTAGAAGATACTTCCTTTTGGACCAGAATTGATGGCTAGGAAAGGTAAAAACAACAATTACACCTTGATCCCAAACTAGTTAAGGTCGGCTATATGAATTATCTATATCCATTCCATTGGAGTTGGGCTGTTCCATTATACCACTCAATTGTTTGTCTTATAAGGCAAATTAGAGATTCTCTATATCTGAACCAATCCCTAAACTGGTATACAATCTCTAAACAAACTTAAAAGACTCTTATCAAATACAGGATCTAACATAAATATGTAATTAGCGACTATTTTAATCTAACCGGTGCATATTGCTTCTGTTCATCACAATTATTACATGGATTTCAAGAAATTGGAGGTTCATTGAGACATATTGCTTCCCTGTGATTTTAAGTCTTCCTCATGCCATTCTTTTTACAACCATGATATCAGACTATGCTCGAATAATTTCATGGGAAGCTTGTCACCTACCACCACCAACAACAAATACCAGGAACTACTCACTCTTAAGCCCTCTTAACAAACAAAGTTATTACTGCAAAAATATACACAGGACCAGCACAACTCTCTATTTGTTCAATTCACCTAACACTTTTGGGCATTGCTATTATACAATTACATTAGTGGAAGTGTAAAATAGGAATGCCATTAAAACAAAGGAAATTAGTAAGTACCTTCAGAGTTCAGTCAGCGCAATCGGAGCCCATTGCACCTCACACTGTAACGGCTTGTTGTGGCGGAAAGTGGCTATTCTGCTGCTTTCTTACGTCTCTTATTTAATTTATTTTAATTTCATATAAATCTAATTTTGACTTAATTGCAATAGAGTGCCTGTACAACACTAGAATTCCCAAATGAATCCTCATGAGTTGCAACTAGGGCCTGCTAATTTTAGATGGGAAACTTTCATATATATATATATATATATAACCAATGAAAAATAATTAATTACTCTCCATAGTTATAATGTGATAATTATAATTTGTAGCTACATGTTATATGGAGGAGAACGGGAGCGAAACTTGGAGAGAGAGGAAAGAGGCAAAAAAGAGGAGGAAAAGAGTGGGAAAGGTGAATTGTATATGTATATTGGTGGATAATTGTATATTATACATATGTATTTGTATATATGGCAAGAGAAATTGGGAGAGGGAGGAGAGAGGCAAGCGATATTGGGAGAGGAAGGAGATAGGCGAGTGAGATCGAGAGAGGGAGGAGAGAGGCGAACGAGAGAGGTCAGAGAGTGGAGAGAGGTGAATTGTATATGTATATAATTGTATATTATACATATGCATTTGTATATATGGCACGAGATTGGGAGAGGGTGGAGAGAGGCGAGCGAGATTGAGAGAGGGAAGAGAGAGGCGAGCGAGATTGAGAGCGTAGAGTGGGAGAGAGGTGATTGTATATGTATATAGGTTAAATAATTGTATATTATACATATGTATTTGTATATCCTAACAAATTATACAACAAACGTGACTAATTATACAATTTGAAGTCAACCCATGCAATTAATGTATAATGTTAATCGCGAGTGGTAATTATAGTAAACTATAGCTATTTTAGTAGTTAAATAGTATAAATGTTCTTAGCCATGTAATTTTCCCATTTTGGATTTAGGTGAGTTAATGACCTGCTAATTTTATTAACTCGGGCTATTTGATTGGCTTAATTCAAACGGTTTTAGGAAAGGATTGATATGCGATTCAAAATTGATTCACAGTAAACTGTCTTAATTATTTCTTATTTGATATGTTATATATAGTCATAATATAAAAAAATTTCAAAAAAATTATTAGATTCTCAAAAAACATAATTGGAGCATTACAATATAATATGGGCTCCTTATTAGTGATCAAAGAATTGAAATGAGTCTAAATCTTAACTCTATACTATATAAAAATGGATTTTGAGCTCAACTCAACCCAAAAGCTAAGTTATTTGGAAAAAAATTGCAAAAATACATAACAAGAACAGTTGCCTATGCCTTTTTCTGTTGTAAGACTTCTTAACCTATGACTTATCTTTTCCTATTAAAACACAAGTAGGAAGCGTACTAACCTTTTTTATAAGACCATAAATATGGATCCAATTATCAAATATGTCACATGTAAGAAAGTACCAATTGGTCAATTTGATGTATTGCCAATATTTGCACATTGAATTTAAAGCCAGGAGAGACAAATCGAAGGATGTAGTGAAATAATCGAATGGCATACTGCCATAAATACAATAACAAAGGCCATAGTTCTGTAACTTTTCATCTAAGGTCTAGAATTTTTCTTTTGTAGAGCGTCAAAAAATTTAAGTTATTCAAAGCCATATTATTTTTAAGAAATTAAAGATAAGACATACTTCCCAAAGGAGGAGCTATCTATCATATAAAAATGTAATTTCATCAAACTTGTTCACTTGTACTAATCTCTTCTTGCACCTTCTCAATGAAACTAAGCATGCTCTCTAATCCTTTCTCATCTGGAAAAGAAAAAAGATGGTATTTGTCATTGTTGTTAAACAACAAAGGCTACTTCAAACCGGACAATTTTAAAGAGTCCGAGCAACACAACAGAAAATACATTGAGTGAATTAATAAAAATGTCAAGAGGTTTACCAAATCTTGGTATAGTATGGCCCTTAGGATGATGAATGACCACTGGATCAACATATGATTCCAAAAGTTCCATCCCATACGGCTTCAGGAAGTCTTTCTCACCTGTAATATCCAGTAAATGTAAGTGTAGAATTTTCATAAGTATTTAGTTTTAAACTGTAAAGTACTTGTTCGTAACGAAGATAAATTGTAGGGACAGAAAGTACCTAAAAAGTGAACGGAAGGGCATGTAATTGCTGGTGAATAAGCTTTTTCGGCCAGTGATTTAATCTGCATTTTCGCACCTCCAATTATGATCAGATATTTAATTTTGCGAACCTTAGTAAGTCCCACTCCCTGCCATTATCACACCAAAAATAACCATGGATAAGTAAAAAGAGGAATAAGATTGTCGTTAAAAAGGGCTAGTGTGTACCTTATCCTGCAATCCACGCAATGCTCCAGAAAGAATTGCCCCCTGAATCGTATCAACAAAACAGAGAATACTCACTACTCAGTATCAGATCGTGCAAAGAAAGAGAAAAGAGTCGACTCAAAAAAGTTTCAGAATCAAGAAGAAAAGCAAGAGAAAATAAAAAAATATCGAATTGAATCAATACTAATTTATTTATTTTTTCAAATTTATATCCAAGCATCCAACTAAAATAATTAAATCATACCTGGGAGAAACCAAGAAGACCATCGAAAGGTCCGTGCTTAATCATACACTCTTGTATATAATCAAGACAGTTATCAAAATTCTCATACTCATTCAATTCCTGTATTTCAAAACAACAACAGTTATAAAATAAAATAATTTTTATCCTTTTTTATTTGAAAATTAGCAAGAATTAATTAGGCGTACAACGCGACCTTATTGAACTGGTACCATTCATAATAAGGAGGGGCAAATATGCCTTCAACTTCAGATTTGCCTTGAGATGGAAAAGGCGCATCAACAAAAACTAGATCTAATTTATCCACCACTTCAATTGGCCATTTATCAAATATTTGCTTCTTCAAAATTTTCCCACTTGTTCGAAACCCATGAAGGCACAAAAATCTGGGTAATTTCCTCTGATTGGCGTTGGCAGTTCCTTCACCTGCCATGGTGGCGGCTGAATTTGCCATATTCATAGTGTTCCCGTACATTTTGGAGAAAATTTTGGGTAAATAGTACAGTATCTGCTTACTCATAGAATATGTTCTATTTCTTGAAAATAGATTTCAAAATTTGTAAAAAGAAAACTGGGGAAAAAATATAATATTGATTTCTTTGTAAAGTTCAAAATTTATTCCAAATTTTTGTATTTTATTTTTTAATAAAACAATTTATTTATGATCCTATTTAATTTTCTATCTACTTTTCGGTTATATGATTAGAAAAAGCATGTTTGTTATGATTCGTGAAGAGATGTTTTTAATATGTAAAAATAATTTAACTAGTTAGAGTAGCTAGTAATTATGTTATTAGTAATTTTTTAATTAAAATATCATGTCATGGTATTAGGAATATGTATTATCTAGTTCATTATATTCTGTACCAAATTTATGAACTCTTTTTATCTTTTTTATTTTAGTTCTTAGAAGTATAAGTCATGTTTCATGCTTTTTCAAAAAAAAAAAAAAGAAAACTGAGATCATGTTGTAAATATAAGTAATATTCCATGCGGATAAAGATCCGGTCAAGTAATGTTTAATTGTCTTATAGATTTATGTTGCGTGTACTATGTAATAATTTATGATTAAGATCTATTTAAATTATATATTCATTCTAATAATAAAAACAACAAAATCGTCAATTATTTTTATTTTTTAACTATCAAATAAAATAATTAAGAGTATCTTACCTAATATTTTCAAGGAAAAAATAAGACTAGCGGAAATATGCGGACTATCCGATTTTTTACCTGTCAACCTCGTACTTGTATTGAATTTTTTAAAATTAATACTAATTTTAAAGAACACAACACTTTTGAAGAATCTGATTAAATATATTTTCATAATTATTTGAAAACCTCTAAATAATTATTTTTTAAAAATGTATTATCATATTCTTAATTAGTTGAATTTTTATTTATAATTCAATGGTGTTTTTAAGTTTGATCTATTTTGGAGATTGCTTCAGAATTTGGAGAAAGCATGTGTGAAATTACTCCCAAATAAGTTAGGCGGGTAAAAAGTCAGGAAGTTCGTTTATTCTTGTCAATGTTAAATCTTTTTCTTGAAAATATTAGTTTGGGTACACTTAATTGCTTTATTTGATAATTTTAAAAATTAAATAAGTTGACAGCTTTGTTGTTTTTATTATTATAATGAGCATATAATTTAAATGAATCTCAACCATAAATTATGTTATAGTACACATGTCATGAATCTATAATGTTTTATCCTACAAGAATATAAACCAGTGATACAAGAGAGTACAATGTGTATATCGTCTTATTCAAATGTCTCTAGATATCTCATGTAATAAATGAAAGAACAATTCTATTTATAGATTGAGAAATCACTCCAAAAATTACTATGTTAAGTGTCGTTATATGTAGATATATTCTTATCCAAAATGGTTCATAGAAACTAGAGAATTTATATACATAAATTTAAATAGTTTGTCTATTGAGAATATAGATAATTCTACATTCCCTTTAAATATCATAAATAATTATTAGAAGCGTTTTATTTTTAAAACCCAAGGAAAGAATTATTTCCACAACAAAGAACTGGCATATTTTGTCATTCTTGATCATTTGTTAAATATATGTGCACCTTCTCAATGAAACTAAGCATGCTCTCTAATGCTTTCTCGCCTGAAAAAATCAGGGCAGATAGAGTAATTAGTTATTAATGATGTCATTAATTGTCTTCTAATTAAGAAAAAAGGCTTAAAATTTCAAAAAGAGACAGTTACACGCTTAAATTATCATAGTAATCAATTATATACCTATCTTTTTAAAAGTAAATTTTCTTATCCCCTAAAATTGATGTGACAAAGAAATAAAAAATATGTGCGTCAATCTGAAATTAAAGTAATAAAAAAGATAGAATCCTCTTTTTCATTCCCACCCCTCCACACCTCTTCTTCATTCTTTATTTTTCATCAAACTTCTTTATTTTTTATCACAATTTTAAAACATAATATTTTTTTATTTGTAATTAGGTTAATTCATATAGATTTGTTAGTGAATAATCGTATTTTATATATTTAGTTGTTAATCAATTTTGGGCTTGATAGTCAACTTTATATGTTTGGTGGTGTTAGACAGCGGTTGACAAACATTAAAAGAGATAATTGAAGGTGGTGAAGAAGAAAAAAGTTGATATTGATAATGGTGGTGATAATATTTGGTGTTGAGTGACAAAGAAGATTAAGAATTGAATAATGGTGGTGAAAAAAGATCAACAGTGAAGATGGGGTAGGATATGACATTTTGCAATTTGAAAATGAATGAGATTAATGATGAATAAAATAAAATTAATTGAAAATTAAAACAATTAACAGATGTTAATTAAAGTAAAATATAATTAACAAAAAAATTTATAATTTATGAGATAATTTTAACTTAGCGTTAACGTGACATCGAATATAATACACCACATGAGAGTGGTATTTCATTGATACTAAATTCACTTTTGAGTTGTTAAAATATGTTATAGAGTACCATAATAATTTATGGGTGTAATTGTATTTTCAAAATAAATTCTGTAGGACACCATGTCTTTTCCCTTTTTAACTAATTGTAGTTACTAGTAATTATGTTATTGACAATATTTTTTGGAATATCATGTTATGATGTAGTTCATTATTTTTTTATATATGTAATTTTACATATAAATTATGTTTCATGTTTTCCAAAATGAAAATGAAAATATATGTTTTTGCAAACATATTTTAAACTATAAATTTCTAAAAGTTAGAACTGATAAAAGATTTTTATATCAATATAATCGAATGGCAAACTGCGGTAAATACAATAGCATGGTCTGGTATTTTTCATTCCTACATTGTAAAATACTAATTACTCGGAGCTATTTTATTTATATTAAAAAAAGGTGGTAACTACATGTCCCAAACTAGGGACTACCACTATTTTTTTTTTTGAAAAAAAATTATCAAACTTGATCACTTGTTAATCTCTTCTTGCACCTTCTCAATGAAACTAAGCATACTCTCTGATCCTTTCTCATCTGAAAAAAAGAAGAAGAAGAAGAAGATTAATTAACAACACAGAATATAATTAACATTTAAATGAAGTTGAATTAATAAAATAGTTAAAAGAGGTTTACCGAATCTTGGTATAGTGTGACCCCTAGGATGATGAATCACCACTGGATCAACACATGATTCCAACAGTTCTATCCCATACTGTTTTAGGTAATCTTGCTCACCTATAGTGATTAATTAATAACCAGTAATTAATATCGTAATTAAAAAAAAAAATAGAAACTTTGATACATTTGGGGATAATAGCATGTTGAAGTTTAGCAGCTGCCCACCCACACCTAAAAATAGGCATGTTGAAGTCATAAGTTCGGATTTTTCTAGCTTATGCTATAGATTATTAATAAGTCAATTAAAACAACTCATAACTGCAATTAGTTATAACACCAGAATTTAGGAGTTAATTGGTTGGGCCTAGGGGTTGGAATGTCTCACACAATTTAACTACCTATGAATAACTAATTCTTGAGATTAATTGATATTCATAAGCAAATATTAAATATTTCGAAATTAATATACCAACAGTACCCTTTTCAACAGTAAATAAGCTCAAGAGCTAGGAGTTTGATGTCTAGGTTGAGGCTCTTATATCGACCAAAACAACTCCTCTTTGTCTAGGGATTCCTTTATATCAAGGCATATCCTCTAAATATTCCTAACCAATATTGACGTATTACTCGATCTAATAAGTTGGAACTTTATATTGTGTTTATCAACATGCCTTATTAAACAAATACTATGTATTAGTACGAGTTTGGAGTCTAAAGAGCAAAAATAATTGACAAAAATTCCAAAAGGTATATAAAAAAAATTTCCAACATAACCAATAAAATCGCTACTGACGTAGCGATTTATTTTAACGACATTAAAGTAAAATTGCTGCTCGAACAGTGATATTTTTGCGATTTTAGTTATTTATTATTATTTTTTAAGTATATCACTATATTTTTGCGATTTTAGTTATTTATTATTATTTTTGCGATTTTAGTTATTTATTATTATTTTTTAAGTATATCACTACAAAAGCAACGATTCTAGTTTTTGTTGTTATTTTTTTATAAAATTGTGTTGTATAATCGCTGCAAATGCAGCAAATTTTAGTTTGTTTGTTTTTTTACAAATTTTTTTTAATTGAAACTTCTTCTTTTTTAATTTTATTTTATAAAATTAGTTCTAAATTTTATTTTATAAAGATTTTAATTTTATTTAATTGCGTATTTTAAATGCAGCGATTTTAAGGATTTTTTTTAAAATTATCAATTGTAAATATTTATAAAATAAAATAATTTTAAAAAAAGTTTCAATTTTTTTTAAAAAAATCCACTAAAATTTGCAAAAAAAAAATAAAAATAAAAAGTAAGTCACTGTATTTGTAGCGATTATACAACATAAATTTTTTTTCAAAAAAAAAAACTAAATTTTGCTTTTGCAGAGGTTTACTTAAATAATAAAATAATAAATAACTACAATCGCTGCAAATGCAGCAATTTTCAATTCATAATTTAAAAAAAAAACAAATTTCATTAAAATTTCAAAATACACAAATAAAAAATTAAAATTTTCTAAAATCGCTACCAAATTTGTTTTAAAAAAACTTAAAAAAGAAACAATAACAAAAATCGCTGCCAAGACAGCTATTAATTACTCCTATTAATTATTATTTATTATGAAGTAAATTACTTAAAAATTTGAAAATTTTTAAGAAATTCGTGTACATAAAAATATATCATCATTTGTTTGATTTGTCAAGTGGACGTGGTGATTACTTAATTTCCATCATCCCATGAAATTTCTTAACAAATTCAATTTAATCGAGTCGGCCCAAATTGGCCAGAATCAATAGTTGACTTGTCGTAGTTAACAAAATAAACTAAACGTTTTAAAGAAAAATAATCATATACTACGAGTGGTGTAAAATAGCCAAAGAACAACAATACAACGTGTTGAAAATTTTTTGTAGGAACAGAAAGATACCTAAAAAATGAACGGAAGGGCATGCAATTGCTGGTGAATAAGCTTTTTCGGCCACTGATTTATTCCGAAATTTAGCACCTCCAATTATGATCAGATATTTAATTTTTGATGCCTTTGTAAGTCCCACTTCCTGTTAATATCACACCAAGTTATCATCAATAACTATGGAAAATTTAATTGAACAAGAATAATTACGATTCAAATTTTTACATTTTCATTTTCACACAAAGAACTAAAACAAAAACTTAATTTATTACCTTAGCCTGCAACCCCGACAATGCTCCGGAAAGAATTGCCCCCTGAATTAAAAAACAGAGATACTCAAAATCAAATTGTGCAAATTTATTTTCTAGTAATAAAAATACATGCAATATCATAAATTTGAAATATGACCAAAAAAAAAATACTAGTAATAGTATATAGTAGTCTAAATTATGTCTTTCTGCTTTGAAAAAAAATATTTTTGAGTGAATAACAGACCTTTTTTTTAAAAAAAAGAATTCAGATACTTCCAAAGTAAATGCAAAAAAACATTGGACCAAATTTTATAACCAACCCCAAAAATGAAGAAAGAGAGAGAAAAAAACTAAAATTACCTGAGAGAAACCAAGAAGACCATCGAAAGGTCCATGTTTGATCATACATTCTTCTATGTATTCAAGACATTTATCAAAATTCTCATACTCTGTAAATTCCTGTATTGAAAAACAACAACCATTAGTTGTTCATCGAAATCGAAGGAAGAGCTATCTGATCGAATCAAGTAGGATTTAATACTGAAAAAATGAAGCGACCTTATTGAATTGAAACCACTCGTAATAGGGAGGGTCAAAGATGCCTTCAACTTCAGATTTTCCTTGAGATGGAAAAGGCGCATCAACAAAAACTAGATCTAATTTATCCACAACTTCAGTTGGCCATTTATCAAATATTTGCTTCTTCAAAATTTTCCCACTTGTTCGAAATCCATGAAGGCACAAAAATCTGGGTTTCCTCTGATGAGTTTTCGAATCACCTACACTTCCCATGGTAGCAATATTTTTTTCAGAAATTCAAATGAGTCTGTTTTGTAGATTTGCTGAGAAATTCATTTAATATATATAAAGGTGAAGGAGAAATGTCAGAATTTTTTTAGGCGTGGTTTGGGGAACGCGTCGGATGAGTTGTCTACGGGATTTGGGGCTCGTGGTATATTACGTGACGGTAAAAGTAACCAATCACAATAGATGAATATTACTTCGATAATATAAGTGTAGAAAATTAATACTTGAATCGTATTGGATATAATTTTAAAAAACTATTTCAACGAAGTAAATTGAACAAGCCTTTCCTTTTGAATAGAAATAAATCGGTAAAGTAATTCGAGTAGCAAGTTATTAATGGCGAAATAAAATAGGATAATTTTTATATATAGTAAATAAAAAATTTATATTATATGCTATAGTAAAATTTGTATAATTTTATTATTATTAATATATAGAATAATTATATACAATTTGAATTTGTGTAAAATGAGAAAGAGAAAAAACAAAAGAGACTTGACAAAGAATATATATAATTGAATCGAATTGTATAAAACGAGAAAGAGAGAAATTAGATACAGTTTGAAAATTGTATAAAACGAGAAAGAGAGAAAGACAAAAAAAAACTGGGCAGTAGAGTATTTTTATTGTATAATTATAAGTGTATATGACGAAAATATATGTACTTGCATGTGTATATACAATTTTTTCATGTTTTATACAAACAGAAATGCAATTTATACATTTCGCTTCTGTTTGTATAAGTGAGAAAGGCGAGGGTGGGGAGCGAGACTTGGTAGGTGCGAGCGTGATCTGGAAGAGGAGAGAGGGGAACAAAAATATATTTGTTTATACAATTTTCTCTACTTTATATAATTAGAAACAATTTTTATACACTTGTGTTTGTATAAAAAGTGAGTAAGCAAGCGAGAGATTTGAGGAGAGTGACGAGCGAGATATTTGGGAGAGAGACGCTTGATAATTTTTTTATAAACGTTTACTATAAAACACAATTAAACCAAACTCTAGCTACTTTATTTATTTTAAGTTATTAATTTACCATTATATACGAGAAAATAAGCATTGATTATTAATTAAAATAGCCCAAAATGAGAAAGAGGAAACGAGAGATTCAGAAAAAACATTAATTTATTAATATATAGATTGTTTGGCATATATATATATAATGAACTAAAATATAGGGAAAGAATATCATGCAACAATGACAATTTTCCGACATCCTACATGCAAAATGACACATGGAGAATGAGTTGTCAAGAGAAAAAAACGAGGTAATATCAGTCAACAATGAATTATTTTTCACAAAAGTTATTAACTTTTGTTTTTTTTAATTCAAAATTTATTTTTTTTAAAAAATCACTTAAACTATAATTTTTAATTCAAAAGTCACTTTTCAATTATGAATGTTTTACTTATAAATTATTTAATTTTTCAATTAATTTTTAAAATTAAAATTTACTTGAATGAAATTCTTTATTTTTAATTAAAATTGTAAAAAGATGATCTATCAATTAAAAGTATCTTATTTTACCTTTTAACAAAATTTAATAGTTAGGATTTATTATTTTAAGAACCTTTAAAATTGGTAAGTTTTGTGATTTTTTTTCTATACTGTGTTTAGTTTGTGTTTATAGGAACATCGATACAGTTTTTAAAAAAAATTAAGCATAGTATGCTGAGGATTTTCGCTAATTTCTTAATCATATTATACTGACGAGGTTAGATAATTTTTTAAGCATAATATAATTGACAGTTCAAATGGATGCTTATTTATTTTTAAATTTTTTTCTTAGAAATAAAATTTTAATGTCAGTAAGTTTTAATTTTAAAAAATTAATTGAATAGATTGAGTGACTTATTAAATAAAATACTTATGATTGAGTGACTTTATAAATAAAATATATATAGTTGAATGAGTGATTTTTGAATTAAAAATCAAAGTCAAATGACTTTCTAAGTAAGAATTCATAGTTGAGTGACATTTTGAAAAAATAAATCATATTTGTATGATTTTTGAGTTAAAAATTAAAGTAAAGTGGCTTTCTGATAATATATATATATATATATATATATATATATATATATATATATATATATATATATATATGCTTTTCTTTTATTATTTTTGGAAAGGGAATTTTTCTTCAACTTTTGACCTACTTATATTTTTTTATTTATATTATAAAATTAGAAGTTAAAAGAGTGAGTCATTGAACCTGAAATATGGTTTATTTTAATTATATTTACAATTACTTATTAATCTAAGCTAATGAAATAAAGTTCTAGAATATTACAAAAGTAGAGTAATAATGTACATATCAAATAGTATATCGGAATATGATAGGAGAAAGTCTGGCGTTTTTGACTTTCAACCTATTTCTTTTTAGACTTTCAAAATTAGTATACTTGTTGTCACTGCTTAGCTACCACCTTGCCACGTCACCTATCTATTCTTCTAAAAACACGTTTATATATTGCTCTCCGTCTAATTTGACTTGAAATAGAGTTAAAGAAAAAAAAAGATTTTTTAATCTTATGATTAAAAATTAAAGTAAGTTAAATATATAAAAATATCTTTTAATCTTGTGATCTTAAATATGTCACGTGAAAAATTAAAATTAAAATATTATGAAAAAGAAATTATATTAATAATTTTTTTTTAATATGTATAATTTTGAGGAAGTAAATAGAATAGAGGAAATTAAAATATTATGAAAAAAGAAATTATATTAATAATTTTTTTTTAATATGTATAATTTTGAAGAAGTAAATAGAATAGAGGAAGCAATTGATAACAGTAATCGATGACGGTAACAGATAGTATCAACTTCCAAGACAACAGACAAATAAATGATATTTATATTTATATTTATAATTTATAATAAAGTAAGTATTTGGCTGATAGTTATATTTATGGATATTTATTGTTTTAGCTTAGTGTGGACCACGATTATAGGATTGGCAAATTTTCTTGCCATCCCTATTTCAATTTCTTGTGGGGCCCGTTATCGGAAGAATATTTTGATAATTAAATTGGTGTAATTAAAAATAATTATATTATTTTTTCTATTTAATTGAACAAGTAATTATTTGATCGAATAAGTAATTGTTTGGTAAGTAATAATAAATTGATTAAAATGTATGGTGTAATTACATTTTATAATTTATAAATAGAGACGATAAATTGCTGGTAATTTATATATAGTAACTATTAGCGGATTACTTTTTGATTTTTCTATTTCTAGTTTTATTTTTATTTTTTACTTCTATTATTTTAAGTTCTTTTTTTATATTTTTTTTTTTAAAATTTGTAAAAGTTTATTTTTTATTATTATATGGAGAAACTTTCACATATAGCCACTTAAAAATAATTAATTACTCTCTATAGCTATAGTTTGATAATTACAATTTGTAGCTACATGTTATTTGGAAAAAAGAGATGAGCGAGACTGGGAGAGAGAGGAGAGAGGTGAGAGAGAGGGGGGAAAGAGTGGGAGAAAGGTGAATTGTATATGTATATTGGTTAGATAATTCTATATTATACATATGTAATGTATATATGGCAAGAGAGATTGGGAGAGGGAGGAGAGAGACGAGCGAGACTGGGAGAGAGAGGAGAGAGGCAAGCGAGATCGAGAGAGCCAAACGAGAGAGGGCAGAGAGTGAGAGAGAGGTGAATTGTATATGTATATATTTGTATATAATTGTATATTATACATATACACATGTATAAATGGTTAGCGAGATTGGGAGAGAGAGGAGAGCGGCGAGCGAGATTAAGAGAGGGAGGAGAGGCGAGCGGGAGAGGGCAGAGAGTGGGCGAGAGGTGAATTGTATATGTATATATGCTAACAAATTGTATATTATACATATTTATTTGTATATCCTGGCGAATTATACATATACAAACATGACTAATTATACAAACTGAAGTCAGCCCACGTAATGAATGTATAATATTAGTCGCGAATGGTAATTATAGCAAACTATAGTCATGATGAGTAATTAAATAGTATAAGTTTGTTTATTCGCATATTTTTTCCTATTATATCTTATTTTCTTCTTGTTCTCAATCTCATTTTACGTGATTCTATTCAATTTTTTCGTATTATTATCTATTTCTTTATGCCATGTTTATTTTTCCATTAGCATACTTTTATTAATATTTTAATTTTTAAATTAAAATAAAATGTATTATTCAATAAGGTTATATACTTGAGTTTTTTTATGATTTTCTTTTTAAAAAATCATATTTATGCACCATATTTTGAATTTTACTATAAGAGTAGTATGACAATTTTTTATTTTGAATTATAAGCTATAATGTATTTTCAATTTTATTTGTTTTAGTAATATTGAATTCACATTGCACGTCATTTTTTAATTAGACTTGCTAGATTATACTTTGTCAAACATTTAATAATTTATGACATTTTATTACATAGTAATTTTGTAATTAAACATGTATTTCATGATGTTCGTAGAAACTTCATACTTTTGTTTATGATTAATTCAATTGAAATATATTAATTTGAAAAAATATAAATATTTTTCATAATATTAGTTAAAGAAAATGTTTATTAATTAATATATTTTAAAATGAATATTTATCTTAAATATTTAATTTAATGTCATTTATAAAGATTCTTATTTGTCCGTATAATTTTTTAAAATAATTTAGTTTAATTTTTATAATTTAGTAAATTTTATCATTGTAACTGTGCATTCAAACAGAACATATGCAATCACGTTGGACATCCAAATAAAATATATATAATTAGAGTGTAATTACATTGTGATAACTAAACAAATTTAACTAATTACTCAGTTGATAATTACTACCCTAATAATTACACTTTCAATTGCCAAATAACTTGCCTTTAGTTTCAAATTTCGAACTAAATAAAATTTCACAACAATATAATAAATAAAATTTCATAAACTAGATCTCAGTAGGTAAGGATAGAAAAACTCTCCTAGAAGTAAGTTGGTAAAAAAAGATATAGAGAAACTGCATGTTTATTTAATTTTATTTGTTTTAGGAGGTGAACGGTCATCGAAATTGACACATAACTTTATCCTGCGTGGCATCAAACCATTGGTCGAGCTTACCCATCAACCCAATAAGCAGTTGGGTCTACATTTGAGCACAACTCATATTACTTGGCAAATCATTAACCGTTAGATTGTTTAATCGAACGGTGAACATGCAGTATCAACGTCATCAGATATACCAAATGAAAAAGGTAACAGGCTGTGACTCACAGCAATTTTCTTGTAACCGAACAGAAAATTCGAGTTCTCGACGATCTTTGGCAGCAAAGTCATTCCCTGTACGATAGTTTCAAGTTTTTCTTAGGGTTTCTTCAGTACTCTCTTTCAATGGCTTCTAGCTCTCATAGAGGCAGTGATTTCTACGGGGCTGCTTCATATAGATCCAGGTATTTACGGAAATAAAGTTTTTTTTTAATCATTTTCTAAATTACACTTTCTTTTGGTTTATTTTTGAGGAAATTAAGTTGTTTAATGTGTTTGATTAATCAGAGATGGATTGAGCACGAGGCAAGTAGGTAGTGCAGATGAAATACAGTTGCGGATTGATCCGATGCACGGAGATTTAGATGATGAGATCACAGGTCTTCGCAAGCAAGTAAAACAGCTCAGAAATGTATGTTTCCCCAACACTTTGTCTTTGTTTCCGATTTTGGTTTTGTAGGAGAATAGCTATTGCATAACTGGTGGCGTTTGTACGATTAATTTACATTTGAAATTTGGTGATGTCTTATTCTGTTAGAATATAATATTCATTAGAAAACCAAAATGAAACTTGCTAGGCTTAGAGACACGTAAACACGCTTCTTTAATATAGTTGAAGTATCTCAGCGAGCAAATAGATAGCTGAAGTCTCTCTACGACCAAACAGAAATATTATGGTAGCTCTATCTTGGTGATTACAACTTTACGTGTTTCAAAAATGTTGATCTTCTATTCATGAATCTAGGATTTATATTTTTGATCAATGTCTCCCTTATATGAATTTTAGACATCAAGAATGGATCTGATACAAAATTCATTTTGGATATTAATAAACTACTTTAGAAATCCAAAAGACTTGAAACTATTTAATAAAATCCGTTGTTTCAAAATATATTGAGACATCATCTAACAATCTCCCGCTAGTTTCAATATATGAAAATAAGAGGCAGTTCTAGTAATATAAGTCAATGATGATGCCTTAACTTGATAATAAATTGCTATGTTTAGGCTTCAAGTGATTGTACAATGGTAAAGTGAGACAAGTCACATGAGAAGATTATTGGAGGATGGTTTAACATCTCTTCAATATGTGTGTTCTTGGTCTAACTTAGTAGATCCTTTTTACATTACCTATAATTATTTTGGTTAATTCTCTGTCTAAAAGATAGATGAAGAGTTGGTGGTTGAAACTTGTAAAAGAATGATAATAACGCGTATTGTAAATTAATTGTACTCAACGGATACTCTACCTAGTGAAATTATCTTAGGTTCAAACTTCATAGAGATAAATAATTGAAATTGCAGGTCTTGAGCCTAATAATAGTTTTTTTTATTTCCCGAAAATATATAATGGAAGTGCATATTTATATTTAATGCTACTTTAGCTTAGTTGAATCATGTAGTTAGTGTTTTAATGATCCAAATGTTGGCTGAAATTTCAAACAGGACTAAAGTTTTGTATTTCTAGTTGAACATTGCTTTGGGTGTAAATCCTGAAGATCTTTATATACCATATGCCCTTATTAGATGCATCTTTTCCAATCCCTCATTTGTTGGTCTTACTTGCTACTCCCTCTGTCCCAATTTATGGGATGACATTTGAAAGGGAGATTTTTGAAGCTTGTGGTCTAAATAAGGCATAGATATTTTTGTGACTATAAATCATCTTAGTAAGGATAAAATGGAAGTTTAAAGCTCATTGTTACTAATTATAGAAATGTGTCATTTTTTTAGGGATTGAATACGAAGGAAAGAGTGTCACATAAACTGGGGATGGGATAGAGGGAGTATATTATATTTGTCATGGTTTCAATTTGTATACCTATTTTCCCTTTTGCTTGTTCTTATAAATAATTTATATTGCAGGTAGCACAAGAAATTGAGTCGGAAGCAAAGTATCAGAATGATTTTATTAGCCAACTGGTATGCCATGAACTCATTCTCCCTTTTTCCTTGTATGTATGACATCTTAGTCACTTCTCTATTTATTTCATGTATGCCTTAACAATTAAATTTTTGTATATTGGAGCTTTTTTGGTATTTATTCTCTTATTACTATTACTAGATAACAATTTAACATGAACCAAAATTATATTTAATTTTATAAATGAGGAAAAAGTTTTTAATTGGTTACCTTTATTTACAACCTTTATGCCCCCGCTTTCTCACTCTTTCTCCTTCTATAATCTAGGAATTACATTTGTTATTCCTATAACTCTCTTAGAACTGATAGTGTACTTGTAACCTTCCTTTCCCTTTCCTTACCATGCCAGCCTGCCTTAATGCCTTCGTTGTTTTATGCTCTCTCAATTTCTTTGAAAATATGTCCTTGTTAGATATTCCATCAACTGACTATGATAATTGATAAGCCCACTTTTTTTCTCCTTCTTTATTGAGGGTAATGTGTGCGGGTTATAAACATGTTGATTGGTCATTCTGTCTGGGATTCTCATCCTGTATGCTTAATTTATTGATTATGGAATCATTCTTACTTGTACGTTACATGGCTTCCCCATTTCCTTAAAAACTCACACTTATCCCTTTATCACAGCAAATGACATTGATCAAAGCTCAGGCAGGAGTAAAGAACAACATGAGACGGTTGAACAGGAGTATCATCCAGGAAGGGTCAAACCATGTGATGCATGTGGTTCTTTTTGCTCTATTTTGCTTCTTTATAATATATTGGTTGGCCAAGTTTTCACGGAGATAAGTGCAACTCACTTTCTATGTTGGTTTGCTGTTTCCTGGTACAAGTTCTGATGAAGACACAATCTATTCAAGCCATCAAACAGATTCTAAGCAGTGGCAGAGTTTTAGTGATTTGGGAAGCAAGGGGGGCAACTGTAGGAACTCCGGATATTAGTCTTATGTAAAGCTTCCTAATCTGTAGAAAACCGTGGGTTGCTACTATTTAACCTTTTTCTTTTCATTTTATTGTTCTTTGTAATACTTGCTATATGACAATGACCAGTGGGTGCTTACCTTAGAAAAATGTGATTATGGTGCAATGGAGTATGTTATATAATTCTTTCGTTAAAATAACAGAGCCTGTTTTACAGATGATGTCTGGCAAAACAGTGTATACATATGATTTTAACTCTTATGAAGTCTACCCTTATTTATGCTATTTAATGCTTTAACAGTAAGCTAGCAGGTACATGCTTTTGAATCATGTTGTTGCTTTGCTTGATCTTCAGAGGGTTGCCCCACCTTGCTTAGCCTAACCTGGTCAATCACTCTTCTTGCCCATTCTGCAAAATAGGTTTCGTTATGTCCAACCATGCCATCTTTATGAAAAAGAAAGCACTGCAGATGATCTTGTGGCGACGGACAATCTTTGCCTATTGGATCCCACCAGGCACCCTGATGTTTCATCCCCGATTGATCTGCCATCCAGTGGTGAGCATATTGTCCTACACCAGCATTCTCTAACCATCCTTTTGGGAAGAACTCCATTACACTGCTCTCGCGGTCCATGAAGAGCATATTTGTTAATTGTGCTCCATGTGGAGATGCAACAATGTCAGTGTTGGTCAGCACTTTCACCTGATGAAGGACATTGACATTAAATCAATGATTACCTGTATACTACTGAAGTTGAATTTAGTGTAATCTGAATCTTGCTGATGGAAGTTTCTTGGTAAGATTTAGTTGTATATTTCTTCTGTAAAGTACTGCTCAAGTGAAATTATGGGGTTTACTTAATACTGATGGAAGGGAAAAATATATACCTGGTCGCAGAAAGATAAATCTTCCGACTGAACTATGTGCAGAATGCAGCCTTCAACTCGGGCACATTCTTTTGCAAATATATCACTCACAGCAGTTGCATTCTTGAAAGAGCGAGAACCTCTTCTCATTAACAGTGTAAGTCTTATAATTGGAAATCCTCTTTCATTCGTCTCTGTACCTTTGCCTGCAGGATTAAGGCCACAATAGCTCCTTGCTTTGCAGCGCAAATGGTCGGACACCTTCAGCTTGTTCTCCCGCGTAATTTGGCCTAGATCATGCCTCATGACAATGGCTTTTTCAAAACAGTAAGGTACATCTCCTCTATCAAATCCTTCCACCTTGACTTTACCAAAACTAGCTTGCATAAGTTGTTGAAGCCAAGATCCCATTTTTAATCTCAGTTCTCCCCAATGGAATAGCACCCATCTTGCGGGCTTCAAGCACTCATTTTTCATTGACCATCTTACAAGAGGAGTCATCGCACATATTCCATGCCACAGATTTTCGTGGTTGTAGTATGTGTCCGATACAAATGTTAGGCCTTCCAATAGAATAGCGGATTCTGGAAGACTTCCTCGCCATGCCAAAGCATATGAATTCTTTGTTCCATCCCTAATATCCCTTCCTTTAAAGCAAAGAAGGCGTCCTTTGGATGCTTTGGAAGGGAAATACAAGTGTTCTGTCTCATTTTCCTCGAGTGTGTCATTCAAAGAGCTCATAAACCATGTGTGGCCAGTTGTGGCTGTTTCTCTAAATCTAAGGTCTATAAGGGGGAGGAAAGTAACAGAGGTTTTGAGTTCTTCAGTCATGGTCTTGATAACACCAGAGTTATTTTCTTGAGAAAGAAAACCCCATCTTTGGGGTCTTGCTGATAAAGAGAACTCAAAAGGGGATGAATACTGGATTTGGAAAAGGATGATAACCAGGAACAAGGAGAAAACAAAGATACTGATGAATTTTGTGGAGAAGCATTTTCTCTTGCTTTGTGTGCATAACTTGAGATGATCTTCCATTACCATCAGTTATGCTAGAGCTGAATATTTCTGTGGCAAATCTTAGTCTCGATATTGGAAGTTAATCTATTATTCTATTGAAATAACTAGTTGACGTAAAGCTAATGTTAGCATTTCTTACTCAAGTGATACGCACAGGATGCAAGATTTGGAAAAGCAATCCCCATATACAGACGTATGCGTTGTGAATATTTTATTTATAAGAAGGGTCTAATGTCAGAGATGGAGCCATGTTTTGCGTTAGTTTAATTGTTTTTAAAGTAGTTGATTTATGGTTTCGTCAAACTTGCATTAAATTGTTCACAAGTCACAACTAATAATAGTATTTTAAACTTGGGGATCCACCTTCCATGGCCCTTATCAAGATCTATGCAATATTCTGTAAGTTTCAGTGAGGAAATCCATTCGCGCAGTTGGATTCTTCTCTCAAGAGAAAAACGGATACAAATGTTGCTTAATAACTACACCTCACAGTCCGAAACACGTTAGGGTCAGCCACATAATTCTCGTTGACAACAAGGATGCTGTTCTTGAGAGTGTTGTGTATTTTTTTTAAGTTTTGACTAAATTTAGGTAGTATGTAGATTGAGAATTTTGATTAAACTTGGCTAGTATGCAAAACCAAATTCTTCGTTACGTCAAATAGTGCATAATGAGTTCAAAGTATTAGGTCTGCGAACACTCAAGTTGTGGAGAAACGCATAGTTAACATACAATTGAGCTAGCTTTTTCCAGGGTTTAAACTGGGTGATAATTATATTTTTTAATCTCTTCAATCAATCACCAATGAGGACTTAACTTTTAGAGTGGATTTCTTCCCTGCAGTAACCAATTAAACATAGTCTCAAACTTTGCATAAAAACACATTGAGTTAAATATTTTTCTTCACTTGTTGGTTTCTATGGAGTTAATCGTTTGACTTGTACATGGAGCAAGCACTAACTTATTTCGAGTTACTACTCTATAAGCATGGTTGTGTTTCCATAATAATTTTCTAACAGTTACTATCCATGGAGAAATGAGTTCTTGTTCTATTAGTTATTTTATCCATATAGTTCATCCATGATTGTCTCAGACAGAAGTTATGGTTCCTATAGTCTGCATATTACTCCATTCGACGACCAATAATCTTGAGACTAAATCCCACATTTTGTGGTCTAAATCAACTTGGCTTAATTTTGTTTTTTACTGGTTTATTTAATTGGGCTCATCATTGAGGTAATACAACTTTTCATTTGTCATAGTCCACTGCCAATTTAGTCTTCTTCGTCTCCTCGCTATCCTATGAACCCACATTGATACTGTAGAGCTGCGAATAGTGCCAAAAGACATGGATAGTGCCTTAATTCTTCTCTGTCCCCATTTCAATATGGAGCCAGTGTACGCCTAAGTCCCTAGAAGTTTAAGGAGGACTTCTTTGTTTGATTTTATTTGAAGAAGAAAGTGAGTGAATCTAACCATTCTGATTGTCATCACATATTTGATATAGAACAAAGACCGGCATCTATCTACCTTCTACTCTCCGTATCTAGAACTGGCACAGCAGCATAGGTGTGTTAGTTGCAATCTTAGACTGAATTTTCAAACAGGACGGTAGTTTTGTATTTCTAATTGAACGTTGCCTTGAGTGTAAGTTATGTAGGAGTCCTAGAATATTTTTATACGATATGTTCCTTATAGGTGTGCATCGCCTCGAATCTCTCATTTACTGGCCTACCTGTTATATTATCTTTGCAAGGTTTCAGATTTCTATCCCAAATTACCTTTTTGCTAGTACTTGTATATAGTTCTTGTTGCAGGTAGCACAAGAAATCAAGTCAGAAGAAAGGTTTCAGAATGGTTTTATTAACCAACAGGTATGCCATGAATATTTATTCTCCTCTTTTCCGAGTATGTTTGACATTCTTTTAGACCTTTTTAGTCACTTTTCTGTAATTCATGTACCTTAACAAATAAGATTTTGTATGTTAGAGCTTTCTGCCTCTATAATCGTTTGGAATTTAAATCGTTATTATTATAAATTTTTTCGAAATGCAGTGTACTTGTAACCTTCTTTTTCCTTTCTGTCGATGCTATCATGCCTAGATTCGTGAATGCTTTGTTGCTCTATGCTATTTGAATGGGTTTTATGGTGCTTTAACAGATACGTCCTTGCTAGATCTCCATGAATATATCAACAGTCCGTTATCAGCTTAAACCTGATTGCATTTTTTCTTTCCTCTGTTCTTTAGTGTGCAGGGCGAAGGAAATTTGTCAACTAACTGTATATATTCAACTGATTTTTAAATTTGAATGAGTTCAAACTTCTAACATTTTAGACTGCTTCAGGTTGCTAGAGCGAATAAACTTTCCTATAGAGTTAGTGTGGCAGTGTTTATAAACGTGTTGATTGATCGGTCTACCTGTGATTCTCATGGTGTATGCTTATTTTGTTGATTATGGAAATCATTCTTACTTGCAAATTAAATGACTTCCCTTTTCGTTAACAATTTACACTTTTTCCATTATCACTGCAAATGACATTGATCAAAACTGAACTGGGGTTAAAAAAACACGAGATAGTTGAACAGGAGAATCATCGAGAAAGGAAACCAAACCATATGATTCATGTGGTTCTTTTTTCACTATTTTGCTTCTTTGCGATCTATACTTGTCCACATTTTCACGGAGATTAGGGCAATCCTATCTTTCTGTGCTGTTTTTTCGATTTCTGATACAAGCTTTAATGAAGATGAGAGGAAAACTGAATAGGCATCATACAAATGCTAACCAGTGGTTGATTTTCAGTGATTGGGGGCATCAAGGATGCAATTGTAGGAACTCGGAATATTAGTCTAACGTAAATTCTCCTAATCTGCAAAGGGCACTTTATCCTTTTTTCATTATAATACTTGGTATATGACAATGATTACTGTGTGTGTTCTAAGAATAAAGTGATTATTGTGCAATGGAGATTGTTCAATATTTCATTTCTTAAAACAGGAGCCTGTTTTGCTAATGATGTTCGGCAAAACAGTTTATGCATTTGATTGCAACTCTTATAAACTCTACTACTAAAGGTGCTACTCAATACTTCAACAAGGCTAGCAAACACATGCTTTTGAATCATGTTGTTGCTTGTTTGCTTGATCTGCAGAGGCTTGCTCCTGCTTCATTAGCCTTACTTCATCGAGGACTCTTCTAGCCCATTCTGCAAAATAGGTCTCGTTGTGTCCAACCATGCCATCTTTATGATATGAAAAACACTGCCACTGATCTTGAGGGGATGGACACTCCTCGCCTATTGGATCCCACCATGCGCCCTGATGTTTCATCCCAGATTGATTTGCCATCCAGTGGTAAGCATATTGGCCTGAGCCAGCATACTCTAACCATCCTTTCGGGTAGAATTCCATCACACTGCTCTTGCGGTCCATGAAGAGCATATTCGTTAACTGTGCTCCACATGGAGATGCAACAATGTCTGTGTTGGTCAGCACTTTCACCTGATAAAGGACATAAGTGTTGTTTCAGTGCTTGCAGATGAATTGTTTTTTTGGTAGTTTTATCGAAATTTTCTTGAGTGACAACTGAGTACTGAAGGAAGAAAGGGGAAAATGTGTACCTGGTCGCAGAAAGATAGATCGTCTGACTGGACTACGTGCATAATGCAGCCTTCAACGCGGGAACATTCCTTTGAAAATATATCAGTCACAACAGTTGCATTCTTGAATGACCGCGAACCTCTTCTCATCAGGAGAGTAAGTCTTATAATCGGAACTCCTCTTTCATTAATCTCTCTACCTTTGCCTGCAGGATTAATGCCACAGTAACTCCTAGCCTTGCAACGCAACAAGTCGAATGTCTTCAGCTTATTCTCCTGCCCCATTTGACTCATCTCATGCCTCATAACAACAGCTTTCTCAAAACAATAAGGTACATTATCTCCTCTGTCAAATCTTTCCACCTTAACTTCACCGAAATTCGTCTGCATAAGTTGTTGAATCCATGATCCCATTCTTACTCTCAGTTCTCCCCAATGGAATAGCACCCATCTTTCTGGCTTCAAACATTCATTTTTCATTGACCATCTTACAAAAGGAGCCACTGCACATAACCCATGCCACAAATTTGTGTGATCATAATATGTATACGATACAAATGTCAGTCCTTCCAATAGAATAGCAGAGTCTGGAAGACTTTCTCTCCATGCCAAAGCATATGAATTCTTCGTTCCATCCTTCATATCCCGTCCCTTGAAGCAAAGTAGCCGTCCTCTAGATGCCTTAGAAGGGAAATACAAGTATTCTGCTTCATTTTCCTCGCGTGTATCGTTCAAAGAGCTCATAAACCAAGTGTGTCCTGTTGTAGCTGTTTCTCTGAATCTTAAGTCTTGGAGTGGGAGGAAAGTGACAGAATGTTTGAGTTTTGCAGTCATCATTTCAATGACATTAGAGTAATTCTCTTGGTAAAGAGAAGCTCGTCGAGTTTGGGACCTTGCCGATAAGGAGAAATCAAAAGGGGATGAATACTGGATATGGAAAAGGATGACAACTAGAAACAAGGTGAAAAAAGAGATGGTGATGAATTTGGTGGTTAACATTTTGGTCTTATTTCGAGTGCATGACTTGGATTGATGTTCCATTTTCATCGAGTTAATAAGCATCAAAATACTATTTCTCTGGTTTTTAGGAGCAAATTGAATGTCAAGATTGAAAGTTAAAATCTTTATATATTATATAAAAACCAGCTGACATAAAACATAGGTAGTAATGAGGCCTGAGGGATTCCTTGTCAATAGTTTCCATGTTTACAGATGTATGCTTAGTGAATATTTTAGTTGATAGAAGTGTGTAAGGTCAGAGATGGAGCCATGTTTTGCGTTAAACTTTGTTGTTTTTGGTACTTTTTTCCTAGTTTTGTCAACCTTCCATTAAATTCTTCACAGCCAAAAAAGATATTTTATACACTTGGGCTGCATTTACCTTCCCTGGCACCTTGTCGAGATCTCCTTGGAGTATCTCAAAATATTACATTCATTTAAAAAAAAAAGTACAATACACAATAATACGACATAATACAATATAATATATTACGAAATAATATACCTCCAAACAAAGTGTTACAGGGCGTTTGGTAAATTATATAAGTAAAATTATTGCATACATTAACTCTATGTATTAGTAGTACCTTATTTGGCATACTTTTTCATGCTATATATAAATTATACACTCTATTGTGTATTAAGAGCGTGTATTACTAATACCATTGAATTTATAGGTATTAGTAATGTAAAAGGATTAAATGCATGCGTTAGCATGGTAAATACCAAATTACCTATCAAAACTCCTTTTTACATCTTTTTTTCATCATAATTGTGGAGGATATTTTTGTAAATAAATATTTTTATCCAATATTATTTCTTATACACCAAACAAAACGATGCATAAGAAATAATTAATGTATAATTAATGCAAGCATAGTTAATATAAACATTGTTAATACACTCTATTTAACATTATTCTAATACAATCTATCAAACGACCCCTTAAAGAGTTTTATGAGTAACGACTTGAGGAAATGACCAAAATGATCCTTAATGTATGAGTAATGCTTTATTTTGATCCTTAATATATTTCATTAGATTGAAATGGTCCTTAATGTCTAATAAAAGAAGTTTATGATGCTGGAATTTATGAAGTTCTTTCTTTAAAGCTAACAATTATATTTAACACCTTCTTTTAATATATTTGCTAGGTTTAGTGTAAAACACTAAAATAAACTCTTTTTGTTATACATTAAGGATCATTTAAATTAAGTGAAATATATTAATGACCAAAATAAACTTTTGTTATACATTAAGAACTATTTTAATCGATTGAAATATATTAAGGACCAAAATAAAGAATTACTCAAAAATTAAAGATCATTTTGGTCATTTTCTCGTTAAAACTTCAAGAAATTCTTCACGGGTCTTTCTTAATTGAGTCGGGTCAGGATGGGGCAAAGGATCGTCTTTTTTTTGTAATTGCGCCAAAGAACTAGGGTTATTTAGGTCAATGAGCGCTGGTTTAGGGTTTCTGCTATAATAAACCTTTAAGCCGCAGCGCCGTTCGTCTTCTCCAAGCACATCCGTTGTTGTCGTCAGTCAGTCTTGCAGGTAAAAGCACAGCTCGTGTTTCTTCTCCTTTGTATGATACCAATTCTGTAGTGTATATCGAATTTGTCTCTTTCTTTTGGATATATAATTCATTATTCATGTTCGTGTCATCAAGCTTTGTGCTGGAATTGAAAATTGTATTTCCTGTATAGCATAATTGATTTATCACCATAGAAGAGGCTGTAAATTAATGCCGTCTTTTGTTTGAAGCATTAATTACTTTTGTTAGTTACTATTTGTATCCTTTTCTGATTGTGTTACGAGTAGTTTGCTTTGCAATGTTTATCTTCACTTTGCTGCATTTCTCTTCAACCATCCTGGATGGGCACAATTGGAATTTCTTTTACGAATTCGAAATTTTGTGTGTTAAGATAAATGACAGAATTCTGATTTTATCCCAATATGTGATCATTAAACCCTACATGTTTCAATTATTAAGATTTGAAAAAACAATGTTATCTTTTTGTTATCAAGCCATCTCTGTATTCACACTTCCACAACAGGTACTTTATCTCCAAATCTCAATGGCTTGAACTTTTGAAGTATATTAGTATTTCATTTGATTCAAATTTGTATAATGTGAAGCTGGATGGTCGAAATTTAAATAGTTTTACTACTTTGCTTCCGAATACTTCTATATTATAATCTATTGTGGAAGTGTGAGTCGAGTAGGTTTACTTACCTATGAAAAAAGAGACTCTTTGGTTAGTGAGTTGCACTTTAACTTGCTTTCTATTTAAATCCAGGTGTTCTCCACTTCTAAATCTATTTGTGTAAAGCCACTGTCAAGATGCAGAACGACGAAGGACAAAACATGGACCTTTACATCCCTAGGAAGTGGTAAGTTTTTCTTACTTCCCAACACTTTTGACTAGATTCAGATGTTAGGTTGTCCTAGATTATTAATGTACATTTTGGATGCAGCTCTGCCACTAACAGGCTGATAACTTCCAAGGATCATGCATCTGTTCAGCTCAATGTTGGCCATTTGGATGAGTCTGGCCGATACACTGGCCAGTTCACCACTTATGCTCTCTGTGGATTTATTCGCGCCCAGGTAACTTCCTTGTTACCTTTGATATCATGGTAGAGGAATTTGACCTTCGGATTGTTCTGAGTCATGCCAAACTGTTTGTTTCTGGGTTTTTTGAATCACTTGTTTTCTAAGAGTGAACTATTCATTGTGCCTCCTGGGCCTTGAAATGCATAACATATCTTTGTATGTGTGGTGAAATGATTGCTATTTTCATGGCTCACTAACCTGAGATGTGACTACTTCTCATGCAAATACATCTTGCACAACTGGAGGTGTACCTTCGGCTTGTTTTCTTGTCCCATTCTTCTTTCTGCAAAACTGAAACTGAAAATTGATTAGTATTATTCCTTGTCAAAAAACTTTACAGAAAGAGAGACGCTTCTTTTTTAGATCTATTATATGGGTCTTCTTTGCTGGAATATTATTTTAGGATCTTGTTATGGTGATTTATGTAGTGTGCTTTTGACATTTATCATTTGTCTGTTACTGAAAATGACTTGAAAACACTTTTTGCAGGGAGACGCCGATAGTGCTCTTGATAGGCTCTGGCAAAAGAAAAAGGCTGAAGTTGGACAACAATGAGAGTTTTCTATTTGGTGTTACCATTCTTGAAAAATGAGAGTTTTCAATTTAGTATTGTATTACCAGCAGTTCTGTGTTTAGTGGCTGTTCTGTTTTATGTTTAAAGTTCATTATCAGACAAATGGAACTTGCTTGTTACTATTTTAGTGCATTTAACTTGATTTTCTACCGTTAAAAGATAACTTTTGGAGATAACAAATATGTGCTGTTGTTTTAATGAATTGGCCTGGTTCATGAGCCATTTCTTACGTTGCTACTTTGCACTAAACTTGTGTTTGTTGGAACGGGTTTTATGCTTTTGTCTTGGTGTTTTGATTTTATGCCTTTCTTTCTTTTTTAGTAAGAAATGATGGTGGTTCTTGGGGCAGTTTTTGTGTACGTCAACTATTCCATCCCACCTGTGTAGATACCAAGTTATTACACAGAGTTGAAAGGCTATCTTATATGCTTTTAGTACCTATTGGTGTTGCAACAAATTATCTTCAGGCCGAGGAGTAGACGTCTTGCTCTCAACTTAATAAATTTCTCTTCTTAACTACTTTTGCACTCTATTTTTCTTCTTTTATCAACACAGCTATAGGACTTCATATGTGTATGTGTTCGTCCCTTGGGTAAAGAAAAGGATTCCTGTCTGTCTTGATCCTTTGTCCTTGAAGGAGTTATTAGTTAGATTTTAATGGAAGTCAAACACGAATTGGAGTGATTTTATGGTAAATAGAGACTTTTGTATGTGGGTGTTAATGGTGAATATGCTCGGAATTGAACTATGCAAAATGATTCAAATCTACTTTCGAACATGTAATAGTTGATGATCTGTATTTAATTGAAAACAACTGTGAATCTGGCATACTTTTAACCACATTGAAATTTCAGACTTAAATTCTATATATTTAATATAATAAATATCAAGAATTCTTATAAAAATGACAATCAAGCAAAAGAAATTGGTCACCATCAAGTGCTGCTTTAGGGCTTTTACATTAACCAGCCGTGGTGCTCACATTCTTGGCGCCCTGTCTGTCTCTCTTCGAAATTCCAGGTACAATCTCGTTCTCGTCTCCCGTATTATCTCTGTAATATTCTGGGGTTATTGATGCACAATTCATGTTCATGTAATCAAGCTTTTTCCTGCAATTTATCACCCATAAAATGCTGTATCTGAATTTTACATCTGTGACTATTTGTATGATTTTAATCTCCAAGCAAGTCTAGACATTCGAAATCTCTTGATATTTTATTTGATTCAAACTGGTATTAATTAGAATTGGATTCTCTAATTAGTTATCAGTTTTGTGGATGCCCTTTGAAAATGTTGAAGTACTTCTGGATACACTTGCTATACATGAAAAAAAGAAAATCTAATTCTGTTTTCTTAGTGACATGCCATCTAATTTGCTTTTCTGCAGGAGCTTTCTAATTTTAAAGCTATTCGTTTAAAGCCATTGTCAAGATGCAGAATGACGAGGGACAGAACATGGACCTTTACATCCCGAGGAAGTGGTACGTATTTCCTACTTCCTAACACTTTCAATTAGGGTTAGAGGTATAATGAACATGCTATTTGGATGCAGCTCTGCCACTAACAGGCTGATCACTTCCAAGGATCATGCATCTGTTCAGCTCAATGTTGGCCATTTAGATGAGTTTGGCCGATACACTGGCCAGTTCACAACTTATGCTCTCTGTGGATTTATTCGTGCCCAGGTAACTTCCTTGTTACTTCTGAATATCATGTTAGAGGAATTTTACGTTTGGATTGTTTTGAGTCAGCTTGTTTTCTGTACCTTTCAAATTGCATTAGTTTACGAAGATTTAAATGTTTTATTGTGCGATGTGGACTCTAAAAATGCTTGACTTATCTTTGTATGTGGAATGAAATGGTTGCTTTTCATATGGCTCACTAGCCTAATGTATTTGTACCTATAATGCCTATACATTTGGACTTTTTCTTTTTCTATTCTTCCAGTAAAACAGAAAATTGAGCATTTGTAACGTGTTTTGGTACTGTAATATAATAGCATTATTAGCTCTTAGCTTGTATTGGTGGCTGTCGTTCAGCTACGTTTATCATCCCTTGTCAAAAACTTGTTACAGAGAGATCACTCTTTTATAATTCGGTATACACAATTCTGCTTTTCTGGGATGTATCTTATGATCTCTATTTCAATTTCTTTTGACATTCATCATTTGTGTGCTTCAATAATTGACTTGTAAACACTTTTGCAGGGTGACGCCGATAGTGCTCTTGATAGGCTCTGGCAAAAGAAAAAAGCTGAAGTTGGACAACAATGAGAGTTTTCTATTTGCTTTTATCAATGCTGAAGTAAAGTAGACTATCTTTTTCTCTCTTTGATATTCTTTCCCGATTCTCCCCTTCAACCTTTGCTATTTCATTTCCTAGAATCGAGCATAATGTGAGTCATTTGTTTCTAAACTTTTGTGAGATGAACACCATAGCCGTAAAAATCTTATTTTTTCTCACTGCATAGTTAAGTTTATTTTTGCCTCTTAAAAACTGCAGTTCTCATGTCAATCCAAATCTTTGCGTTGTGCTTCTGTGGCACATCCTTGATGCATTTCCAGACCAAATAAAAAAATTTGCAATTTTCTCGTCTTGAGAAACTGTAGTGTCATTATCATATACAAATATAAACCAGTAATCATGAAATATTCCATCATGATGTACAGTAGACATCGGTGATCTTATTAAATTCCTTGCAAAATTCCAAACTGTGTGTTTAAATGAACCAGTGATAATCTGATCTCAAATACCATAAATCCCCTGTTTTTCTTCTTCTTTGCCATATTAAATTAGTTGTCAGTTAAGATCACGGGATAGTATAACATGAAAACTTTACACAGATAACATCTTTATTAGAAGAAAAGGGGTACAAGATACAAATATTAACAATCAAATAATACAAGAGTTTTTAGCTTTATGTATCGGCATTATTAATATATTTATATATCAACAAGAAGCTGCAGCTGGAACCATGACACGCTTCTTTTTCTTCTTATATAAGCAAAAGAGAGCAATAGCAAATGCTATGAAGAAAAGACCCCCGATTGATACACCTACAGCGATAATTGTAGTGTGTTTTCCGCCTCCCCCTGAAGGTGGGGCAACATCAATACTATTACTTGATGGTGGAGGAGGAAAGGTAGTTGAAGGAAAAGTTGGTGCGGGAAGTGGTGTTAATGCCGAAGGAGGTGGGCTTAGTTTTGAATAGGGGGTAGATGGAGAGGGTGAAGGAACTTTACCACCATCTAGTGGTGACGGTGCCAACCTTGGCGATTGTGAGTTTTTTGGTGGCATAGAAGGTGGCGGTCCTGGAGATGAAGTTGGAGATTGTGCGGCATTTGATGGTGAAGAAGTTGGTGAGGGTGGAATCTTGGAATTGTTGGGTGGTGAACTCGGAGTTTGTGGAGGTGAAATGGGACTTTTGGAAGAGTTTGGTGGTGAACTTGGAGTTTGTGGAGGTGAAATGGGACTGTTGGAAGAGTTTGGTGGTGAATTGGGAGCTTGTGGAGGTGAAATAGGACTTTTTGAAGAGTTTGGTGGTGAACTCGGAGCTTGTGGAGGTGAAATTGGACTTTTGGAAGAGTTTGGTGGTGAAGTCGGAGTTTGTGGAGGTGCAAGAGGACTTTTTGCAGTGTTTGGTGGTGAATTCGGAGTTTGTGGAGGTGAAATAGGACTTTTGGAAGAGTTCGGTGGTGAACTCGGAGTTTGTGGGGGTGAAAGAGGACTTCTTGAAGTGTTTGGTGGTGAACTCAGAGTTTTTGGTGATGGTGGAGGACTAGGAGGAGGAGCATTGGTTGATCCAGGATTTGAACTTGATGGAGGCGAAGGAAATAATGGGGGTAGTGTGGGTGGGTTTGAAGGTGACATATTATTACCACCTCCGGGAGGTGTTAAATTTGGAGGTGGGGTTATTGGTGCTGCCACCGCCGGAGGTGGTGGTTTCGGATTATTCACCGGCATAGGAGGTGGAGGCGGAGAGTAATATGCATAAGCCATCGCAATGCGCTTGTGAGATAACATTTTTTTTCTTCCAAGAGTGCTTATAACTTAATTTTATGGGCAGCAGGCACGTCTAGTATGTGACTATATATAGTGCATTATATATACGTATCATAATTTAGTTCATAAAAAAACTTTCGAACTTTTGGTAAAAATGACATATTAATCAACGTATTAATGTTTATCCTAACTTATTGTTTAGAGTTTATCAACTCTAAAATAATTGATTATATGACTTGCTTTAACTTTATAATAAACGTGGGGTTGTTGCAATAATGATCATGGAGCAAAGCCACCTCAAAACAGTAAAAATAAATAATAAGCACATGCCAAAAAAATATTTTAATTTGCATCAGATATTTATAAATACTGAATAATTTCTTTATTTACCCATCTAAATAAAATTATCAAGTCCACGTGAATTCGCAATCAACTCTAGATCGATCCTCGTGGTGATTATAATTTATATTTGTCCACAATCATCTCTAGATCGACCCTCGTGGATAGAATTTGGATTTGTTATTCCCTCCGTTTAAAAAAGAATTACCCTATTTATTTTTTGTCAGTTTAAAAAACAATGACCTTTTTTTTTGCTAACACTTTAACTTTCCATGTGACATTTTTAAGACTACAAGATTATAGGGCATTTTGGTACATTTGAAATAACTTTAATTTAGAACTACAAGATTAAAACATTTCTTTGTTTTTCTAAATTTCGTTCCAAATCAAACTAGATTATTTTTTTTTTAACAGAGGAAGAGTTTATATTATTGCTACTAAACAAATCTAACGAAACTGAGTTGGTCCATGTGCCATATTCTCCGTTAAGGTAATCCAAGTTGTATTATTTTGCTCCACTTCAATTTTTTAGGTTTATAAATTTGTGCTACCAAGATTGAAAAAAATAGAAAATTGTTCCCTACTAATCATTCGTCAAATAAAAATGGACAAAAGGTTAGTAGTTTGGAATTTCAATAATAGACAAAGACTTAACAAATCATAGTGTTAAACTTTTTAAATTTAATAATCACATTCTAAATTGTAAATAGCTTGGGTGAAGAATCTTTCATTTCTGTGTAGGAGTCCAACTTGGGCAAGTTTGTCAGTCGCCATAAAGTATTATAACTTCTCTATAGCCATAAAATTAATCAAAAAAACATGTTTTTGATTCAAATAATCATTTTAACTTATAATGGTATTTTAATATCATCCCATGATAAATTTTCTTTTCCTTCTAATAACTCCAATGACAACATTAGGGCATACATAAAATTAGACGAAATTCTGCATCTTTTAACACTTGTTTAATCCATATATTTAGACTTTGATTTTATCTCATCCTTGACGCAGAGAAATCTGCTAATTAAGTTTTAATTACCTTAAGTTTTCACAATTTATGGTACATTGGAGTATAATAATAATAATAATAAAATAGATTCTCCCACATCGACAAACAAAGAGTGATATTTCTTATTTAAAAATGATTAGAAAGGAACACTATTTGCCGAGCTTTATAACATGAGCTTGTAACTCAAGTGAGGGCATTAATGTGGTGGAATTGTTGGGCTGATCCAGAAGGCTGGACTTTGTGGGCTATTCTCTGGCCTGCCCTATCCAAGCATAGAGTTGGGCTATGTAGCTAGCCCAAGCGAAGGCATAGGCTGCTTGGCTCCTAGAGTGGGGTGGATCGCGTGAGGCTGGTTTCACAGAGCAACGAACAGCTCCCGTTCTATCCAGTGGAAGGATCACGGGTTAGTGTTCATGAAGTCCAACTAAAACCTAATGGGCTGCTTCAACTAAACCACCATTTTTTGACCTTAATGTATATAATATTTTTATGGGCAACTTTCACATATAACAAACAAATAATTCACATTTGTATGCTATAGTAAAGTTTGTATAATTGCGCTCCATAGCAAACATAAAACTGTATAATTCGCTATACATATACAATTGTATAATTCGCTGGCCTATTTCGCTGCAATTGTATAATTCGCTATCCTATTTCACTGCGATTGTATAATACACAATTGTATAGTTCGCTACCTATTTCGCTGCAATATTTTTAAAAATTTGCTTTGCATACAGTTGAATCGAATTAAAATCTATGTATATTGCATAATTATAAGTGTATAGCAAGAAGATATATGTTTTTCTCTCGCTTTATACAAAAACAGAAACACAATATATACACTTCTGTTGTATAAAGCTAGATAAAAATGGATTTCACTGCAATTGTACAATTCGTTGGCCTTTTTCTCTGCAATATTTGAAGTAAAATGTTTGTAAATTGTATAATTAAGTGTATAACACGAAGATGTATATTTTTGCATGTGTATATACAATTTTCTCTCGCTTTATACAAAAACAGAAACATAATTTATACACTTCTGTGTATAAAGCGAGAGACGCCAGCGAGAGCGGAGAGTGGTGAGCAAGATTTTTGGGAGAGAGACGCCTGGTAAACTTTAGCTAACGTTTGCTATGGAGCACACCTAGCTACTTCATTTATTTTAGGTTATTAGTTTGCTATTATATACAATTTTCCCTATTTTTATCGTGTATATAATATTTTATCGGCTAGAAAAACTAAACAGTAACTTCCAACGTAGAAATGATTCAAAACATCATACAAAATAAAGTTACATACTTAAATCACAGAGAGATCAGTTTGATCCATTTCTGTTTGGGGAATTGGATTCTCTTCTTCCTCCCTCTTCTTCTTGTGATTTTGTTTCATTTCACCATAGAAATATGAAACAAATCCCCAAAGAGAAAGGAATATAGCAAGCCCCTTTGTAACTTCAAATGTTTCATGATATAAAACTACACCTAATAATTCAGTGAGTGGAAGTAACAAAGCAATCAAAATTCCACACAGCAATGATGAACCATATTGGACTACTCCAACGATTCCTAATGTCGAAAGTTGCCAAATAATAGCACTCCATATTAGCACCAAATAATATTTAGCTTTTCCTAGCTCAAATTCCCTTGCCTCCCTCGAAATCACCTGCAAAAATTGCATCCACAGTTACCAAAACGCATCATGTTTAGTAGAAATTGATAATAATTGATGCTATATATGTACCTGAAAATCCTTGTTAACAATCATTCCAACAGTGCAAAAAGCAGAAGCAAAGATATTAAGTATCATTTGAATCTCCAAAATCATAATGTAAGTTACATCTTTTTTAGCCTTTATGTAAATCAACTCAAGTAGAGGCAGAGCAAGCCCTGTTGAAGCAGCAGCCAAAAGTGTCATTACGAACCCCAAAACATATTGTTTAGTTGACTCGCCTTCTGGTCGATCACTCTCCGCTCGTAGCGCTAAAGTTCCCGCTCCAACTATCAACAAAACAACCGCATTCACTGAATATGAAGTCAATTTTTGCTTTACTATAAGAAAAGCAAATACTACTGTAAATCCAAGTTGTGCTGCATAAATAACGGTTGAAGTAGAAACGGGGAGTTTCGCGGGTCCCCACGCGTAGAGATAACCAGCTAGGCCGACTAGAATGCCTAACGCCGCTGATGATGTGAACTCCTGACGAGTTATACAGAAAAAGTTGGTATCAGAACCCTGAGTTTTTAGACGGTAAAAATAAGCGATGACGAGAACAATGAGAACAATTGGCCATCCAATGCATGCTAGCCAACTCGAAAGCCAAATTCTTTGGCCACCGTGGAGGAAATAGAGACGTGAGATCAAAGGGCCACCACAATAGCCTATGCCAAGAGTGATACAATTGAGTACAAGTATAAATTTTCTCCATTTGCTGCTTTGATTATCCATTTCCAATTTTGTTTAACTTTGTCTATAATTATTGGTTCCATCTCGATTTATGTGAAAATATTTAAGTGTATATGAAATTTTTGTAATAAAAAATTGGTGAATTGGGATGGAACGAGTGAAAAATCCAAATCCAAGGGTGTAGAACAATAAATAATTGTAAGGATAAGTAAATGATTGAGGGCAGAGTCGTTTTGGTATCATTTGGAGACGGAACTAGAATATAGTTTATGAGTCGGTCAAATTCAATAACTTTGATCGAAATTTTATATTTCATTTGAAAAATTTATCGAGTTTGTGCAACTTATTAGATTTAACAACATTTAACTTAAAAAAAGAAAAACTGATAAAGTTTAAATTCTGATTCGGCCTCGAACATGGGCTGGCATTAGCTGCTTGTTCTCCAACAGTAATAAGCAGAACTTGTCTTGTTGTCTCATTTGTTTTCTTCATAAGCAACAAGACCATTCACTTTATTTTTTATTATTTTTTCTTTGTAGAATTAGATCATGATGAGGCTCATGTAATTATTGTTACAATTTTGCAATAGTACCAATTCTGATTTATTTTCTTTACTTCAAGATATTCCCTTTTTCACATACTAATGCAATTAATTTACCGTCATGTATTAGCATCAAATTAAAGTCTGTTTTTATAAGCCTGCAAACCTGCACAACTAATTAGGAATTCAAAATTATTAAGGAAAAACAAATCATTTAACACATTTTTTTATGACCAAAGTTTGAATTTATGCTCATGTTCGAAAATTTCCAAATCTTTTAAATTCACGGGTATGAAGTTAAACTTAAAAAGGGCTAGGAAGCAGACCTAATAACATTGTTTAAGCCCAAAACATTTGAGCCCAACTATTTTTTCACTAAATAACTTGCATATTCTTTTGATATATGTAGGTAAATCTATAACCTTATTAACGTAATACAATTGTCACTAATTTCTACATTTTTTCATAGGAAAAAAGTTGGTTTTATCCGAGCAACAAGATACTTGTCAGTAGGTCTGGATTTAAAAAGGGAAATTTCATTATTTATCGATTTTTATACGTTCGCTGCATATATTCTTAGTGATAATATAAAAATTATTCGTTTCTTTATATTTGAATATTTTTATTTTACTTAGACTATTGCTTTAACGATTTAACTATACACATGATCAGATAGAGACCTCACGTTGTCATAATTGTAGATCGTGCACACCCGCTATTTGAGTGTGGTTCACTTATTTGACTTTTGATGATATTAATAGAGTTGACCTTAGGAAAATGAATGTACCTCGTTAAATCTAAAGTAAATGCAAATGTGTGTGCAAAAAAGATGATATTGTGACCCTATGAAATAATATTTGTTAGGTTTGATTGTCCAAGTGGGAGACAATGATTTATCTAGAATTTGCTTATTAAATAAGTGGTTTTGGTTTTGATTGATCTATTGTATTTTGACACACTGTAAGGTACATAAGCTACTCCTTTTTTTTCTTTTTACTAGTTAATTTAACAAACGAATCTTCTTTATAAAGATCTTTGGATTTTCCTCTAATTTAACTACCATAGAGATTGACAATGGTGGGTAAAGTTGAGGTATTAAAAATATGTAGTTTGACTAATGCCTAATTAAGATACCTACCTCATAATTAACTTTAATTAATTTCAAAAAATGTATAATTGAGCAATATGTGAGCTAACTATGGATTCGTAAGTTTGAAAAAATTCAGTAGCTTTTCACACTAATTTTATGGGTATAAGCCGTACTATATCAACAAAAAATTCTTTTTTTTTAAAAAAAAAACAAGTATTGTAGTAGTAATAATTTTCTCTTATATTCTTAAATTTTAAAAATCCAAACCTCTAATCTTTGATTTCAACTCGTTAAATTGAGAAAGGCAAATGGGTAGATATAATATATTCCTATAATATATAGTAGTGACACTTTTCGTTTTTCGAGATTCAAATAAGTCTATCTTTGATCGTAAGTTTTTCATAGATTCTTTTAACATTTTGAATTATAAATTATTGTGACTTATAGTACTCTTACGTAGATTACAAATATATGAATTTCACTTCAAAAAAATTGATGATTCCATACTCAAATGTCTGGTCAAAATTAAATTATTGACTCTCAAAAAATGAAAAGTGTCACATAAAATAAAACAGAGTACTACATATTCGTTCCCGTCTTTGACGTGACCTGTCGCTTAATTTTTTTTATTTTTTTCGGATAAACAAAAGGAGTAGCTAAAAATAATACTGATTTTTATGCATAATAGTATAAGCAGGTTACATCATTGTTATTGGTATGACAAGAACAATGAGGATAAATTTCACTCTTTCATAATAGATCAACACAACTATATTTTAAACAATTTTGTGGGAGAAAATGTCTTATTAATCAGGGTCTGTGTATTGACTATTGACTATTGAGTAGTTGTGGGGTAACCAATCAATTCTTGAATCACATCTTTTAAATAAAAAACAGATACTATTTGCATCTGTTTTTTTTTTTTTTGCACCTAATGATTAATTAATTTTCATACAAGTACAATAAAATAAAATATTTGGCCAATCACGTTAAATTTACTACACAACATGTCCTGCGCCTGTTTGGCCCATATCTAATTGTTGAGATATTTGACTCTCATTTTTCTTCATCTTCATTTTCTTCTCCTTCTTCCCTTGTTCATATTCACCATAAAAATATGAAACAAATCCCCATAGAGCTAGAAAAATAGCAACTCCTTTTTCCGCTTGAAATTTTTCGTGAAACAGAATTACGGCCAAAACTTCAGTAACAGGAAGTAAAAAAGCGCCTATAATTCCAGAGAGTAAAGATGAAGAATAAAAAATAACTCCAACCAAACCCATGAGCGCGAATTGCCAAATAATAGCGCACAATACAAGTACCATATAATATTTAGATTCTCCAATTGTATATTGACTTGCTTCCCTTGGAATCGCCTGTCAAAATAAGTCGTTACTGTTATTTATTCTTTCTAATCCAACTTGA